TTTATAACGCATCATATTCCTGCCTGAAGTTTCACAAGCAGTCTTAACTTTAAAATTATTTTCTGGTCATGTTCATTATTTTTAAATCGATATACGTCAACAACCTGCATGTTAACCTGGCCCATACATACGTTACACTATATCTCCATGTCTTCTAAATTTAGAAATCATCTGGATCGCCTTTAACATTTATCAATAAACCCATCATAGTCGTTGTTGCTAATCGTATTTGGGTTTATGGATTGGTTTATCATATTAGCAGCCTAAAATGCGAACATAGTTTAGATAATAAGATTAAAAATTTAGGTACTATCAACTACACTAGTAAAATAACTAAATCCCTAGGTAGCTGTTGGCTAAACAAACGTTTAAAATCAAAACTCCGTAGCCTACTAGAATTAACACTAAACGAATATTTCTGAATTAAAATTTATAATTAAATTAGGCGTCTCGGATTCTTTAACGTTACAAATTTCTGATAATTTCGAATCACCTAAAGCAACAATACCTATTTTTCCACTGACTAATCCTCATTCAACACTATAACTAGTTAACATAATAGTTTCAGGATATCGTCATAAAGCATTGTCATGACTTGACAATCACGTAATATGATTGATAAAATTAATGAAACTATTAACAAAATCGGTCAGCAAATTGACTTATAATTATCACTAGTGTTGTTTTCTTTATCTTCATCCACCACAGATGATTACAGTATGTTTCTCTATCAGTTGCTCATTCAGTAAATATCTCAAAACCTTGTCAGTCTAATTGATGGTTTAGCGACACAATCATGCATGCAAATAATCAGTATAAGCAGTCGAGCAAATCTCCTGCAAACTGAAAACATCAATGTCGAATTTACCCCAACACTGACTAAGGTTCAAGCCATTATCATAGACATGAGTTGGGAGTGTACTCCCCTTGGTTACAACTTATGTTCTCCCTGATAATCACATGAGCATCACTCACTATTAATCATCTTGTAAAAACTTATTTAGCCAAATACATCTTGCAGCACCACATCACTTAGTAAAATGACACATAGGATTAACTGATTTCAATAACTTATAACCACTATATCTCAATTAAATCGTATTCCGCCTTATGATAAACTGCATACTTGCAACTAACTTGTATGCATCATCAGCCATCGGGTATAAATATGTATAAATAGTCTATGGCAACTCAGAACATTGAGTCTAGAGCATGTCTCTTACGAATACACTCATGTTTAACGATTTGTTCTTAGCTATCTGTCCAAAATTCATATAATTATCACTAACGTATTTAAATTTTGTTTTGATAACCATTCATGTGTATTAGTAGTATTACTAAATTCTATCACGGTCAAGTAAAAATGAGGTTGAGAAAATCTCCCCGTAACTAAATAAACCGTATCAAACTAACTGGAACACTAGTTGGAATTCTTCTCCACGGTATACTTTTGTTCCTTCAGTTAGCCTACTAATACAGATGCAATTGGAAATCAACTCATGGACAACTTACTAGCATAAACGTTATTTGATTTCATAATTTAAACCAAAACTAATACCAATATTAACATTTCTACAATATTCATTGCTTTTAATATTTCTAAACACAAAATACTTACTACCTATACGTTAAGTTATTAACCAACGGCTATTAACACGCATCGTTTTATTATTATTATTATTGTAACCCCATTTTTTATAGCTCAAATAATCTTCACCCAAATTTTCATTTCAAGTGTGTTAAGCATGAAGGCAGATATTTTAAAATTATTACATGTATTTCCCGACCAGATGCTGCCGCTTTTTGATTTATCTTTCAGCTTACCAATACCCGGAGGATTCTTATTATCCTTGGTAACCCCCGCGCGCGACGATCCCATCCAATTTGGTATCGAACCAACATCACGTTGATTCTGGTGGGAGAGTAGTGTAGTGGCATTGGACAATAGCCACACAATCCACAAAGCTGTGAACACGAGACTACTCAGAAAATAGATATTCAATATTTAACGCGGAGAAATACCTAACAATGGAGAAGGCGCGAACAATGAATTGAATGGACTGGGTTTGATCGGATGGCATGGCTCGGCCATGCAGGCGTGGTTTCTGCTGAATGTTACCTTATATCTTCTATTCATATTAAATATATTGTTCTTTCTCTAGCCTAACCTTGTTCTACATCATGTATTGGTAATTGATACGATACAGTGAGTTGGTATAGTCGATGGTGTGACTTCCACGTAAGATCTTATAGATTAGGCAGTTATATCATGACAAATCTACAAATTTAGGATTAGGTCTATTATTAAAGCAGTACTAATATCATACTAGATCATAGTTCTATAATAGACAATAGTGGCAGACAACAAACTAGATTATGGTTGAAGAAGAAATCAGAAAGTAATGATGAGAATAGATTGGGCAGACGTCACAGAAATCACTCACGTCCACCGCGAAACAAGCTCTAGCTCTGGCTGTCCTCAAGACGAACGTGGAATAAGTAGGCCAAAGAACACATGGTATCGGGAAGTATAGGCGGATATCAAAGGGATGAACAGTACTTGTCAGCAAACGGAAATGAGAGCCCAGGACATAGTTGGCAGGAGATAAATAGTCGTTGACCTATGCCTCAAGAAGGGCGATAGGATTAACTAATTAATCGTATTATAACTTCTCGAAGCAATATTTATTTGGATTTATACGTTTTAAATAACACGGTTTTTCATTTGCCATCGTTTCTGTCGTAATCGTTATTGATATCTGGGTGACTCCAGTATTTCCAGAACTTCAACACCCTTCAATCAACTACAAGGATGTATGGCAGTTGTTTTTTGACACACGCTTATTCGTGGTTTGCACTGGCCTTACATAAGTCTATACAATTTATCTGTTCCAGACGTCTGTATAATGTTAGGTGATTAAGAAGCTAAACTTATGAGGCCCACTCGGAAGGTAGGTAGTATCAGAAAGATTCATTGACTAATACAACTCTCAAGAGTATCGATGACGGCTTTTGACCGGAACATAATATAAAGTATACAACTGTATCTACTGAAATGATCTGTGATTGTCCATGAATTTCAGCATTTGCTGAGGTTTCTGTCCTAGGTTATATCCAAGAGCCTTTTAGCTTTGGGGTTGCAGTCGCACTGAGACCTTCGATGTGTAATTTCGTATTCAACACAAGATGGTGGACTGGAAACCAATCGGATGACGACCACCAAAAGTCGACATACCGCACGATATCTCTTGCTACTCTTAATTTAGTAAACCAATTTTGGGAACTCCCATTTATCGAGGCCGTTAAATGTTCAGGAAATAATACGTGATGGCATTGACAGCATGAAACTCCAACAAAAATTGAATGAATTTATCAGGTGAGCGGAAGGTTGGATTTTAGGAACAAATTTTGTTAATTATTCCATAATGCAGGTCAGTCATAATATTGTGGCAGTTAATAAATATACAAAATAAAAGTTTCTGTAGATCGGCACACGGTAATTCAATATGTTCCGGAGGATAGCATGAATAATATAATCACTCTACAGGACCTTCAAATGTTAAAAAAATACATTTACCTTGTCTTCGAAATGTTACCTACGTAAGGCCAAGTAAAGCAAATCATACACCGGTTACAATTTAATGTTTAATCCATTACTTGAAAAATTTTAAGCGTGCCCAGGTGGTAAGTACGAAAAACGATATAAATATTTAGGTGTTTGTAAGCGCTTATGTCCGTAACACCTTGATAATCAAAGGACATCCAATCAGTCATTTCAGGTGCCTGGGATTAATTAGATCGTAGATGTATTTAAAAGGTTGTCGATTTGTTGAGAATCATTCGACTCAAGCTGTCTAGTCGTTTGAAGGAATGTGCATCATGACGTGCCTACTAGCGATCCAGTGCAGTGTGTGACCGTGAGGATTTAGCCTTCCTTATCGATCGTTTAATGACTAGACTGTCATAAAATACATGTAGTGTCATTCTCACCGGTAAAAGCCTGGAAGATTTATTATTCACATTGCTGAAAATCAGGGACTGAGTGAAGTTGGTTGATGCTTTTCAAAGTGGCCAAGTGTGTCTACATGCATATTGGAGAAAGAAGGTAGGAGGAGTGCCTATACACGCGGTCTGGCATCACAAGAGTCTTGAAATGACGGAGAGTCATGGTCTTAAGACCACGGCCCACTGCCGCGAGGTTGGAGCCAAGGGGTTTATAACCCTATGCGATTTAAGACGAACATTCACCAAGTTAGATACTCACATGTTCACTTCAGCACAAACAATATCGATGAGATCTAAACTTGACAATTGCGTTCAGGTTGCAAGCTACTGTTCAACGGGTAACTGGCAGCTAACTGTGGAGTTTCAGAACTCCAGGGTTTGCTATATAAAGAGAGAGGGTTGAGAGCTAGACTTCTTTTCTCTGTCCTATCGCAGAATAAGAAGTGGTCCAATTTTGATATATAAAATACTAATAAATAATTTCGGATATTATATATCATCTGTTTATTTTTCTATCAGACTAGAACAGCTAAAAGGACATGTCAGGTGATTACAAAAGCTAGGAATGAACAAAATACTAACAACACACAGGTTTTCACACTGAGTCATGAATTCTTAGAACCTATTACCCGAAGCAGTGGTGTCCTCACTCTTGAATGATTCATTCAAGAGGGGATCAGATATTCACAGATTATACTAGAAAAGCAATAACATAGGCCGTAGGCTTCCTGTCGTTACTATGTAAACCCGAATCTGAAATGTGATTCTGAAACTCAACACACCATAACTTCTTTGATGAATGTATTTAGTTGAAAGCTGTACCGACTAGTCGTCCTCAAAAATCAGTTCATACTTAGGCTTTCATATTCATTTCAATAACACTTGAAGATGAAGTTGATTGTTTTATCTAGTCACGAAAATTAGAGTTATTAGGGGCCAATTTTACAAATATTTGACCTTGATATGCACCAAGTGTTTCCGCTGAATTAGTAGAAATGGCAAACTGTGGACAAAGCTGTAGTAGCAGTGATGTGGTTGATTGTGTTGTCATTAACAAAACAGTGCAGCATATACTCCCAGAAATTATCACTGCAATCAAGGATGAGATCAAAACATATAATCATTACCTAGTTAGTTCGGCTTTTTCAAATTTCACTAAATAATTTTATGTAACGTTTCCATTATTCTCCTAAAAGAACGAGGTTCTCTTTTGCCACGCGGTGTTCGATGGTGGTTTATTAGCTCGTTTTGGCTTTTTGCCTACACTATGGTGTAATGAAAACTAAAGTTTTCATTAGTAATTCCTTCATCGGCCATTGCTGGTTATTATTTTTAACTGTTATCAATAAAGTAAACAAAACGAACGTCTATAATTTTCCATTGTTTTTATATAATTTGATACTCATCTTCATAATGTCCTAATCAATGTAAGTAGATATAGCGAAACTAGATTTGTTAGCGATCTATTCATTGTAATTTTGGCCTATTTAAATCAGATTTAGTGTTATTACCCAGCCATTATATTACTTACAAAATTTTACCCCAAGTTTCTGTTACAGTTTAGTGATCCGAACTTCAAACTTATAGGTCGTGGATTGAATCTTGGTTGAACCAGTTCTGGTTTCAGCAACTGAGTGATTATACCAGCTTTTCTCAAATTTTTGTCTAAAACCTTATTATCTACATGTAAATAATGGATGTATTATGCCAACTAATCCAAGGTCTGTTTATAATTTGTCTGAAGCTATAAGTCTGTTTTGAAACTGATACGTCATTATGTCCTTTTATGTCCATATAAAAGTAAAAAATTCCATTGTTGAATATATATATTTATTTATTCTAACACATAGATATTGGTAAAAGGAGGCACCAAATGCATATGCACCACACAAATCTCATTCGATGTGTGGGGGCTGTGATATTGCCCGGGTGCCCACACCGAGGCAGGTGGTTTTCTTAGGGGGCCACTCCTCGAGCCTTCGACCTGAAGGTCTGATCCACAAGGCAGTAGAGCATCGTAAGGAGATGCAGTCCCATGGAAGCCGGTGACCAACTATTGGTTCATACGCCATTTGTTCCTTTAGGATACTGGAGCCCATGTGCACCGCTGATTTGGAATCCGGACATTGTTGAATATCCATAAAACTTGCTAGTTAGATGCCATGTACTTCGTTTGGCCATACCTTCGCATTCAAGTTTCCCACACTGGACATGAAAAGTCTAGAATCTAAACATTTATAATCTTCATTGAACAGAGTTAATGGATTGGATTCTTCGATATTAACCCTTTAGGTTCTTATCTTTAGAAAATCCTGCGATGGATATCCTTTAGACCAAATAAGAATAGGTTTGATTAGTCGTATACGAAGTGATTACGAAAACCACCAGTCGATAATAATTGTAACTATTTTTTTTCAGAAAGACTTATCTGGTGATGGCGTAGTTTACAGTTACCCTGATCGGATACTGCACAAACCGTTTCTGAGGCTGTCTAATGGGGAGGTAACTAGTTTGGAAATCTATATTTACTTTTAAGATACCTCCTCCGAACTCCGATGCGATTCTCAGGACACAGAGAAAAGAACACAATTTGAGTGATGTTCGTGCTACTTCTTGTAAAAAGTGTAAGCACTTTTCATGTTACATCTCTGAACTGCTATTGTAATTCGTTTTATCACAAAGGTAGTTCATTTTAATTTCAAACACAGGTTGTTCCAGTGTTATAAAATTATTCGGTTATTCCAGTTTTTTTCATTTTACTAAAATTTTCATTTTTGAAACTAAGCATTCACTATTTACTAGTCCTAGCCGGGTTGTTTTTTATAAGTCATGAGTAGAACCATGATTAGTTTTCCATCCACATCATTGTATCAGTTTCATTCACTGATATAGCTAATTATGAACTGTTTTTATTATTAACACTCACTAATAAAATAACACATAAAAGACCGTTAAAAGGTAATTTGGCTTGAAATTACGTTCCACTTTAGTATGTGCTTATTTTCGATTCGCTTTATTTGTTGGCTTATGTCTAGTTCTAGTAGGCAACGTTAATATATCTTATTATTTATTTGAACACATATATTGGTACAAAGGGGCACTGAATACACATGCGCCACACAGGTCACTTGGTTTGCGAGTGGGTTGTGATACTGCCCGGGTGCCCAGACCGAAGAAGGTGGCTTTCCTAGCCGGCCACACCCAGAGCCTTCGACGTTAAGGTCTGACCAATGAGGCAATGGAGCAACGTCAGGAGCTGCAGTCCCATGGTAGCCGGTGCTCAAGAATAGGTTCATACGCTACTTGTTCGTTCAGGATCCTGAAGCCCATGCACACCATCAGTTTGGAATCAGGGTTTTCCAACTCCCATAGGAATCCACCAACCCGGTTAAAGCGCCGGACATTCGCAGGGTATTAGGGTATGATGGTAAATCAGTTGATAAGGTTGTGAATCTTCATCGACTGAGATGGTTGGGCCACGTGGTGCGTATGCCTAAACACCGATTACCTCAACGCGCAATGCTGACTAGTATTGGAAGAAAGTGGCATAAGTCCTTGAAGTTACTGACTTCTAGTCTGAGTCATGTTGGTAGATGCAGACTACTTGGTGGGGGTCCGCGTGACCATCGTAAGCAACGGTCGGAGAGTCTGGGTGACATGGCTCAGAACCGATCACAATGGCGTCTGTGTATAAAATCTCTATCTTCCCTTAAACTATGAGATTAAAATTGCTTTATGTCTTTCTTTCCACTAACTAATTCTTTCTTCCTGTACTATATCATTATATGCAATCCTTTATATATTACCCCCATTGAATTAACTACTATGAATTTGGTATTCATCTTGTTGTGCTTATAAGGTATGGCAACTTGAACCGATGCATAAATGTTCCTGGTTCTACTTTGTAGCTGACCAACTCTTCGTCCTCTCGATTTCGTAAACAACACTCCCGCCGCGAGAAGGCAGTGAGTAGGACTTACCTGGCAGTGGCTGTATACTCGTGACCATGTGAGGACATGTCGAGAAGGAGAGCTAACTCTCCCCATCCTTAGCCGTACCAGGATATTTGGGGACGGCAACGTTAACATATCTACTTCATATACAAGTATTATTAGGCGGTTATTACGAAATTCTCTAATGATTTCTCATGTGAAGGTCAGTGGGACAAACCTGCATCATGTGTTCATCTTAAATAAGTTTTGTGAACGAAATATTACATGGTAAAAACCTCTGTCGAATTGGAATCGCTGAGTACATTTAACAAATATCTCTGAGTTGAGGACGTTAGATGACTGTCTGTGTTCGATCATCGTCGTCTCTGAAGGATTGCTGACATCCACTGGCAACACCATGTTAGTAATGCAGAGGTTCGGCATCGTGTGTTCGGGCACAGAGACGATAATGCAATTGGTGTTACCATCTTGAAACACCGGCTTCTGTGGCTTGAAGATGTTCTGCGAATGTCGTCCCAGAGAATTCCACGTCGTGCATTATTTGCCGACTCTGGGACTGGTTGGAAAAAGCGGAGAGGTGGTCAGTATATGACATAGTGTCGTGGAATGAAAGAAAGCTGCAAAGGACTGGCTTCTGTTGGTCCTTCACGACTCTCTGGTTGGGGTCCGAGAGATGGTGCTACACAGTGCCTAGAGACGTTATCAGATATGGCTCAGAATAGAAGCTAGTGGCGATCCTGCTGTAACCTTCTTTTACTTTCTTCATAAAAAGTGGTTGTGTCTTCCTTAACTGAAAGATTCCTTCTGATTGTACCTTTCCGTTCCCCATTTTTACCATTATTATTATTACACCACCTTACATCAATCTCTTCGTTGTTATTCTCTCTTTTTTTACTTCCCCTTAAATTCTCATTGTTTTGTGCGGCGCATTCTTGTATCAATATTTATGTGTTCAGATAGATAAATAAATAATAATTTTTGAAACTGCATGAAGTATTTTATCCTTTTTTATTTCAAACTGCGTTAATGAACTAAATTGTTGGTAAACCTAACAGTCATTTTTGTTCTAACCGCGTTTTTTATTTTGTGTTCATTTACACTCCTATGTTATTATCGGATGTGACGACTATTACTTCGTACTTTACCGTTTATTTTCTGCTTCTCTACTATCAATGTAGCCAGTGTTTTCTTAAGTAAACTTCATGAAATTCAAGATTCACAATCCCATTTTGTTACCGACAAAACAATGTGGCACTAGTGAATGTTGACCAAATATTTCTCAAAGTTCGCTATATAAAGTTGTGCGTATTTAATGGATAGATAGTATGACCGATATATCTTTACCTATAACAGTTGTTTTCGTTTCTATAATAATAACTTTGGTCCCTTATCATTCATTCTACTCATCAGTGTGCAGTATTTTCAGTTTTACGGTTAACAGAACTCGTTAGGTAGCTACTCATCGATCTTGATGTATGTTTGACAATAAAAACCCTCAGTAACGAAGTTAATTCACTGTGCTTGTACTGGACAGTTTTCATAATGATTTGCATGATTGAGTTCTGACATATATTTTTTTGTGTAGGGTTGAAGAAGGAATTAATTTCCTTGATCAAATCTGTCTCTACATGTGTTCGCAATCGCCGGATTCAGATTTTAGAAGATAGACGAGACCTTTTGCTAAAAAAGGTTTCCAAGACATGCAAGAAGCAGCCAAGTTCTAAAACGTGTCTAAACAATTCTTCTGTGGAATCTAGCAAATCTCTTCTGGCTGAACTTCAAGATTGTGAATCAAAACTATACCAAACTCATCTTATGTCTTCGACACCTCCAAAATGGTTGATTTCAACCTTAGCAAATATGGCATTTAATGATTCTGGTGGTTATGCCTCTCAAGATGTCTTCTGGAAGAATCATGGTCATAAATTCAGCAATAAAAGTTCTTACAGCCAGTCTGTTCGGAATTGGTACGAATTACTTTCATCAGCTGATAGCATTATTTCTCTGTCTGATTGGACTGAAATATCAAATTTAGAGGTAAGTTTTCCGTGCTGTTATAATCTCGTTCATACATTTAGAAACGTTAAAAATTCCTCTGTTATCAAACACTAATATTATGTTTTATACATTTTAAATACACCCAGACCTACCTATGTATAACTTCAAAACTTCACAGGGAATCCAAAAATATGGTAATTTAGGCATACGAGGTATTAAATATTTACGTTGGTAAAATTGTTGAGCTGTCAAATGATTGTGGAGTAACCGGTAATTTCCAAGTGGGTTAACCAAGAACTTCGAATATTTCCAACTTTACTTATCCCACATGATTAAAACGCCCGTTTATCCCAACAAGATAACTTACTCCAAATCAGTAGCTACTTTATGTTGTTTATGGCAGACTATGTGGTAATCAATTCTCAGGTTTTAAATACGTCTGGTGTATCAGCACAATTCACCTTTCGGACTATAGCGTTAAACTATTATGATTGCGGGCTAGTAGGTATGTAAAGTTAATATTACGTATATGTCTGATTGTAGCATCTATTATTGTGGTAAATTTAGTACGGTCGGAAGGATATCCTGAGGCTTTTTTCGATAAATCACTAAAGAAGTAGATAACTGTGGGGAAAAGTCCCATAAAATATGTATATTGTTTTGTATTGTGTGAAAAGTAGGTCTCTACTGTTCGTTATATTAAGGAATTCAGATATCTCGATTAACTGGTATGCTAGATAAGTTATCCTGTATTCTCCAATAAATCCTGCACAACGAGTTGAGAAGTAATTTTAAGTTAGCCCTTAGACTGTCAAGTACTGAGTTTTAGCGTAATCGAATTCGGAATAAGTAAGCTATTTGGGTTGACAAAAAAATTAATGAACATTGGTGATTCACAAATCAGTAGTTTTTTAAAGAGGGACGCGAGAAACATAAATGATATGTCAAACAATAACTAAAAGATTGTAATTGGCGAACAAACAAAGCGTTTGGTACTTCTACTGGTGGGTTCATTTGTCGATCGCATCTTAAGCTCCCCCCAAACGCCCTCTACGTCCATCCTGGGTTATCACCGCCAAATAACTGGCTTTTTCAAGTAATCTTAAGTTGTGCACATATCGAATAGTTTCTGCGGTCGAGGTCCTTGATTTCTCCGTTCAGACACGTTTATCAGGACTGTAACTTACTTGTTCGACAATGGCTTTAGGCTACCTGGCTGTACATTTTTTCGTATGTTCAGTCGTTTATCTATTACTTAACTGGCAGGTGAATATTTTCGTATTCATCTGTCCCAGAATACAGTAGCTAATCTCTACGCTTTCTTCCATCTTCTATTGTATAATAAAGTTTCATCGACTAAAGCTTCATCGAATGACAATCCTTTGTGAATCAATAACTTATTTGGAGTAAGTGCTTCTAGGGACCCACGGTCACTTTATCTTCACGAGAAGTTTGTTCAATATTATCTCTGCTTCGGCCAGAGATGTTTGCAAGTTTTTGTCGGTTAGGATGGTTCCATTACATATCTGTCGTCTTCATTTTATTTGTATCACTTTGGTCCTAATATGAACCTTTGTGGGTTACCTGTATATAATAAAACAAGTCAACCTATGGGAGTTATTACTATATTTCATCTTGATATTTAATGGGAATCACGAAGTATCATCCATGCTTTTTGTTAAAATTGCTAAGTTTAAACGAGTCTTGTTAAGGTGACTAGAAAATATCTAACTTCAGTAAGAATTTACTTTCTAATTTTCACTATCCAAATTGTTGATTGGGTAGACGAGATGACTTTTTAATCACAATAAGTTTCTGTTTATTGCTGAGTGACTCCCTGATTATCTCGTGGCTTTATTATTTATAATGAAAACTATAGAAACGTTATTAGTTAAATACTAAAGATCTCCCGTTTACCATACCAAGGATTATTTTAAACCTAAATTGGTAAATCTATTTTTGTTGAATGATGGTTATTTTACTTATCTCATAGTGCATGGTTAACGCTTTTGATGTTGATTCGACATTCAGAACAATAGAGATGTAGACTGCACTCAGCAGCATTATCGTCATAACTTGTCCAAAATTCAAATTTGTTATTATGAGTTGATTGTATAAAAATGTTTAAATGTAATGAATAATAAGCCTTAGAAACATTCATCTTAATGAGCTCTGGGGAATTTTGAGTAAAATTATCCAATACAGATCTCTTTAAAGAATTAATATCTTTGGATATTTATTTTTGGTCGATTGCTGTTAAATCTTTTTAGTTGTCTGAATACGTAAGATTGATCATTAGCACAGATACCCTCTCTTCCTGGCGATGTTTTCTTAATACACGTTGTTTGGTGATACATTCATTGTTCGATTAGACTTTGAGTTACACTTTTAGCACCTCATTCTGTGTAAAGTTTTCTGATCAACAACCACAATTATTGATGTATGAAGCAGATCACATACAACTGCACTAACCATAAATTGCACATTCCGCGAAATAACAATGGATAAAATAACAACAATCAATAAAGAATTATGAGATATATTTTTATGGGAAACTAAATTCACAGCTCCTAGGTCTATATTTTAATGGATCAACCATATAATCTAAAATCTCAATCTCATCCCACATACGTTTTTGTTTTCTGTCTTTTTCGCGTTTGGATGAAACGTTGGGTTACTTATTCATCACCCTTTTTGTCTTCAAACCACTGAGTCGCAAGTCTGAATTTCGCCTCATGTATTTTCTTTCTCAGCCAATTTGTATCATTAGATCTGGTATAAAAAGCCTAGCTCAAAGCCAAGTGAAATCTATACATGGCTAAATATTTCTTTTGCTTACCAGTATCCGATTACCTTATTCATGAGTATAAATCACATCTGAGTATTCTACTCAAAGTTTTTAATACAACTATTCTTTAGTTTTCTAAAACTTATTATAATTAGGCATTTGATCTACAACATTGCAGTCGATGACGAATGACGATGTAAGTATGCCTGATGTTTTTGGAAATTAGTACAAGTTGAAGGGGTTTGCTTAACTGTATGTATAAAGGATAATAATGGGGCTTAGCAATAAGCAGTTCTCTGTTAGAGTGACTGTTTCAGTTTTTTGTGATTGATTTTTCGAACTCTTTGCTCAGAGAAACTTCGTCTTGTTAAGTTTGTTAAATTACGTTTGCTTTTTCTAGAGTAAAACTCGTATAGATGATGTCAATGCTCGATTAACATGGATTCATCGTTTACAACCCAATGTTAATCGTTCTAAATGGTCAGCTGAAGAAGACAAACGATTAACAGAATTAGTGGAAGAATTTGGTGAATATGGTCGTTGGGAGGAAATATCCAAAGTTTTAAACACCAATCGTACTGCTTTCATATGCCTTCAACGTTGGCAAACTGTTTTGAATCCTAATTTCCACATGGTAATTGCTCATTTTCATTATATATATAATTCATAGTAAATTAACCAAAACATTTTGCAGAATACTAAATGAAATAATCTGAAGAAGTAGCTTTCCAGTGATTTCTACCTTTCATTAATCGATTGTGTCGCATTCAAATCTTTTCTCCTGCTCCATCACTTAAGTTGTATAAGATTAATTGATTTGATTATTTTTTTTTTCGAAATGTCCTTTTCCACTTATGTTTCACTAAGTAGTGGTGTATGTTACATATGTCGATGTACATGGTCCTAGTATTTTACTAAGAGATTCTGCAATTTCGTATTTGAATACGATCGGTTGTCTCCACCTGTGTTCTCGTTCATTACAGTTTGCTGATCTTTGTCACTCACTATATGAATTAAAAATAAGTCCTTAGTAGTGAGAATCTATTACAGTAAAGTTATCATATACACACTCATTCTGAGCAATAAGCTTCGTTAGATAGCTATAGCCAATGATAATCTACATTTAAAAAGCAAGTAAATTGATCTGGGTTCATTTTTGTAGTTGTATAACTCAAGTTTATTTCATAAAATCGTTGAACAAAGACCGATTTTGAGGATTTTTGTCTTACTAGATTCTTTTTTCGAAGTATATTAGAATAAAGAATAACGAATCCATTTTATTTCGCTAGGTTTTCTCAACAGGTGTCTGCAGCCTGTACTACTTTAACGTTGCAATTAAGAAAACGATTAACATAATTATGAAAATGGATTAAGTTAAAATTTTACATTAAAATAGATCAACTCTGAGTAGCAAACACTGAAGGTTAAAATGATCGGGTAAATTAGTGCGAATGAATATCATTTTTTGTCATTTCAAAGATTTTTCATTCTACATTGCGAGCTCAATAAATGTTACAAAAAAATACGTACATTTAGAAGCCATCTCTTACGTAGAACCTAAAGATAAGCAAAAATTATTTGTTATGAGATTAGCACAATTTCGAATTAAAATCGCATAAATTTTTAACATAAGAATTTTTACTTTGTGAAAGACAATCTGTGTATAGTACCATGATATTGGCACACATTAAACAAAGAAGTCAGTGAGCTGCTTTTGTTCAAAAGTATCACTTGAAAGGTATGGATCTTACTTATTTACTTTTTCTTTTACAATTACTGAAATTCGTGGCAATTGGTTGATTGTTTCTCAAGTATCGTAAATGGTCCACTTCGGAGGATACTGCGTTAATCGATATTTTAAAAAAATTGCTTCAATTCTATTCGCCCGGTTTAATGGATTGGGATATTGTGTCTGCTCACCATTCGACTCGATCAGCTAGTGAATGTCGTTCTCGTGCACCAATTATTTGTTCAGTATTTAAAAATGTCAATCCAAAAGTACAGAACGTTTTAGATCCAAACATCAGTCAAAGCATCAACCCTCAAGTATCTACTGTATACCGTCCATTTTCTCTTGCTGAAGATTTACAACTTTTAATGGCGGTTCAACGGTATGGTATTGCTGGTGGACGTGTTGGTCATGGCGGAGGTATAGGGATAGGTTCTTGGGCATTAGTCACTACTGCTTTGCCAGGTCGAAGTGCATCCTCCTGTCGAAAAAGATACTTAGAATTGTGTGAACAATTTCAACCTTGGACATGTTATGAAGACCATAATTTATATCATTTAGTTCTTAGTTATGGACCATATGCTTCCATGGGATGCTGGAGAACAGGTCCGAGTCTACGTAAGTGTTGTTTAATCTCTCACTCATGCTACATTCAATTATGTTTCTGTAGTTTTTACTCTCTTCCATAACTAATTCGTGTTTGTGGGATCATAATGGCTTCCGCTTCGACTGAATGACTCGTACAGTTACAAAATCAGAACAAAGGGATTTTCTGGTGTACTGTACTATTATCATAAAAATTTTGAAAACCTCAATTATTTAGGTGTCTGTGGTGTTAAACACGTTAACACAAGTAAGGAAAAATGCGTCCTGAAATAATTATAAATAGATAAGTTTCAAAACGTTCAGTAGCTACCAGCCGTGTTTGAGAACTCAGTGTCTGTCAACAATTGAAACAGCAACTAAAGTTAAAAAATATTGTAAAGTATTATAATTAAATAAAGATTCAATGAATGCACGAACTTGTAATTAACTGTTACATATGTTAAGAAGTTACAATTACAGTAATAGATAAACTGAATATCACAAATGTGTAAACACTTAAAATGCTGCACAGCAACAGATTATGGAACTTTATGCCCCAAATATTTAAAAATTAAACTAAATACTGAATATTATTAAGTGGTATAATGTGATACGAACGTTTTTCGAATTAGGAATGAAAGTAAGAGGTGTAAGCAGCACTATATTTTCCAACCCAATCACCTTTGAGAATCTTCACATACAGGTATGGAAACAAAGTTGATATAACATGACTTCCAACCTACAAGCTATACCTGAATGATTTAGATATTAAAGTATGATTGTTTGTGCTAATGCATCTAACGAAAAAGTAGTACTGTTTAATAACATTCACACAATTTGAATCGCATTAACATAACAAGTAAAAAACCGAAACCCCATTTTCACTCTACATGAAAAAGACAAATCTGCTTTAAGCGAGTGCAAAGTGTTGTGTTTAATTTAACTGTTGAGCTATATTAGCTACCCTTACCGTAAAGTTTCGGGCGTTTTAATCACTTGGTAGAAATAAATACATTGTACAGTATATATATTTTTAAAATCACCAGGACTGCTGATTTACGTTAAACTGGACTATGCATATTTCATTTCCATTTCTTTTTTCATCAAAATAAATATTATCAATACTGTAACTTTTTTTCAAACTATTTCTACAGAAATTTTCACTAATCTTCTTCCATATTTTCCTGGACGTTCGGCTCATTCTCTTCAATCACGTTTTAAAACACTGAGAAGATGGGCAATGTTATGGTATAATTTACGTGAACAAATAACTGGTAGACTAGAAGATTCATTCAGTTGTGTACGTGTATCTCATTTGTACTTATTGAAAATATTTTTGATAATTTTAGGGGCATTTGATATATTTAAAGAAGGTCAAATATCATGTCTCCTCTGAGAATGCTCAACTAAGTTTACATTATGAAAAAATTTAACGACAATCTAAACAAATATTGAGGACTAACGTTGTATATAGGTAGTAAATTGTTAGATTTTGATATTAACCGGTGTGAGCAGAATGCAGAGTGGCGTATCTAATTAGATGTTTTAAGATTTTTCAGTTAATAAAAATTGCTTCATATTTAAACTGCTATAAAAAATCTTTTCTCAAATAATTCAACTGATTCGGTTTTAGGAGTTGAAAGTGCTTCATATTATTAACCTAAAGGATTCAGTGAATAGTCTGTAGCAACTTTTAAATAAATCTTTATGACACTTCATCTAACGACCGCAAATTCTTCCGTAAAACTGGTGTAAATTGATTTTATTTTGAGTTATTAATTAGTTATGAATTCTCAAATCTGAATGTTCACTCACCTTTCTATTAGCATTCCACAGAGTTGGTATATTTACATCTTATGTTTAAAAGTTTGGTAAATATTTAACATATCACAGTTTACTTGAAATCATTGTTTCAAAATGTACGAGAATATTAGATGTTTTTTCAAAATTTAAGAGTTCACTTTAAATTAACGGAATCTTAAAAATCTATATATATATATATATATTTCAGAATCCTTTATCACCGTCGGAACAGAATATTTTATTGTATTCACCTTTCGCTACACAATTTGTAGCTCAGTTAAAAATGCTGGTGTTCCTGATCCTGAAACAGAAGCTTACAGAATAGTAAGTTATCCAATTTTGTCAGCCATTCATCATTAGATTAATGACTGAATAAAGTCCTGTCAAGTTTAAGGCTTTGTTGATTGTAGTCAGTCAGTCAGCAACAACGTAGAACCTCATACGCACGTACATCAGTTCGAGTTGCCGTAGGCGAAATCATGTCAACCCAAAGTCTCATGGGATAATGAAGGGGGATATGTAAGTTCTGTAGTGAATAAATAACACTTGATTTGGTAAATTGTCATCTATTGATTGGAAATTCATGGTTCAGCGCAACCTGTTCCGACTGTAGCTGCTACTTGTACGTGATGGTCGGGTTTGCCTATTGTGATGACCCAACGATTATACTGGCTGGAACATATGTTCCTGTAGGTTCTACCATGGCAGGCAGGTCAATTGGAGAACGGTAAGACTAAAAGCAGCAACTCAAGGTCTGAGGGCGAAGTCGTACTGCTGACTGTAGAGGGTTACGACAGCAGTACATTAACCTTATGAAGGCTCTCTACTCGAACACTATTGGCCGAATGAGAGCTTATGACGAACTGTCATCAGAATTGATTACCTCAAGTAGTGTTTGTCAGGGCAGTCCACTCTCTCCATTCTTGTTTAACAATGTCGTTGACGTGCTTTTAGAGATAACACTTTCTTCATCTGAATTTTCAGGAGTTGAACGTTTACCAGGTGATTCACTTGTTGACTTAAAATATGCCGACGACATGGTTCTATTTGGTGAAGACGCTGACAATACGCAGTCTTCTAACCACCGTAAGCAACAATGCAAAATGTTGCTTCACCATTGGGTTGAATCGACACCTGAACTAATAATAGGGAATGAAGTAATTTCACTGGATTATATTGTTTAAATAACATCTTCAAACTCTAATGTTTCTGATTACTGCTTATACTTTTATTACATATACCACTATGGTATTTCAATCGACAATTATATCTCTATGTTAATGTGGTATGGCAATTTGAATTGATGGAAGTACGTACGAAGTTCTACGTTGTTGCTGACTGAGCGCTACCTGTAGTTTCTGATATTAACGCCAAAATTTCTAGACTCGGTCACTGAATGAATCACGGATCCTAAAATTGGATCCATTTACAAAAATGAAGGCATGCAGTAATAATTATAGCACAAAATTTAATATACGAACGTACACATGCATATTAAGGTGTATTATTCTGAGTTTAAGGTAACTTCATAAATTACTGTACTTTCTTTCCTACAGTAATGTCACTGATCACTCGTAAAAGACAAATATTATGGACGTATTATGTGAACAACCTAATATTTCATAAGAACTCAAGACGAAGGTTGTTATTTATTTAACTGGGAATCCAAAAGACACGAAAAAAACTAGTTTTGTGGTAGTGTATTACAATTTTCCCAGTTTATTGAATACAAGCCAGTTGTAAATAGATAATAGGCTCTCCATATATCTGCAGCTTTCATAAGCATTTTTATTTCACTGACATACTTCCTTTCAGTCCATTGTTTTCTGATATCATAAAACTGTACCTGTCACCTTAAGGTGGTGGCGCTGTGGTTTCGTTATCATAAACTAATAAAGCTCTATATTTGCTGAGACATTCGTTGCTTGAGTTATTATTACATGATTCAGATCAGTTCATGAATAATAAGACAGAAGGCAACCATTTTCACGTCTGAAGACAAAATCATACTCCCGATTGTATCAAAATTATTCACATTGATCATTAAATGTACCGGTTGATTAATGCTAAGAAGTTATTTAGTAAGATTCTTGTGTATGTTTATCATCCTAACACTTTTAGTTAGACTATCTTTACTAAATAAATCCATTCTAATTACTAAAGTTCCCGACCGAAGCTGCTACCTTGACGCGGTGGTCGGGCTTGCCTATCGTAATGACCCAACCGAGCTATATTGGCTGGAACATATGTTCCTGTAGGTTCTACCATGCCAGGCAGGTCGATTGGAGAACGGTAAGACTAAAAGCAGCAACTCAAGGTCTGAGGGCGAAGTCGTACTGCTGACTGTAGAGAGGTGTGACAGCAGTAAGGTGTTTCCCTCGTACAACCAGCATGACAGCGATGCTGCTTTCCCACAAGGAGGGGTGGGGTTAGAAAAGGTCGACCCTAAAAATGTCACACCTCACCTTACCTCACGGATTCTGTCTCCGGCGGTAAGGCCCTTTGAAGAACAGAGCTAACACGTTAAAAATCTCCTACAGAAAGGACGTGCGCGACCGGCCTCAAGCAGTTGTCCCTTGGACTCTGAGGTCACGCTCCCAGGTCGTTAAGACCAACACTAATCCAACTTTCTTTTCAGGCTCCTCAGGAAATACCCTTCCACGATGTGGGCAGCCGGAAAGTGATATCAGCCCTCATGCACGAAACAGCACACGAGAGCAAGTTGTTCACATTCGAATCCTTCCTATGCCTCCTAATAACTCTCTTATCTCCACGACTAACCCTTCTCACGTCCCTTTATCACTTTGCACCGCTAGTGCGAACGATTCGAGTACGCGGAACGTTATTCCTGGTCTCCTGAAACCACGTTCCAAACTACATCTAGGAGCTTATAACGTCCGAACACTGTGCCAAATAGGACAACAGGCTTCCTTAGTTAGGACCTTAAAATCTCGCGCCATCGATGTGTGCTGTGTCTCCGAAACGCGCATACAGGATCCGAGTAGCGTCATTCATTTGACCTCACCATGTCAAAATATAGAACCAACTCGATTCACTGTTCGTGTATCTGGAAGCATTGAGTCCTAGGGCAGAACTAGTTCTTTTAGAGTGGATCGCAGTAGACAGTTTGTGCACTGTCCGACTAAACGGAACAGTAAGGATCCGAAAAGATAGGGACACTCGTCGTTGCCTCTTCGTCGTCTCTGCCTATTCTCCCACTGACTGCAGCTCAGATGATGTAAAAGATGAGTTTTACAGAAAGCTTTCGGACCTTCTCCGAAAAGCTAGGCGCTCGGATGTAGTAATAGTGGCCGGTGACTTTAATGCTCAAGTAGGTAAACTAAGCGAAAGGGAAAGACACCTGGGTGGATCTTATAGCGTCGTGGCTCAAAGAGCAGATAATGGCGACCGTCTGTTGCAGCTATGCTCAGATAACCGCCTGTTCCTTGCAAATACTAACTTTAAGCATAAGGAAAAACATCTTTTAACATGGCGACCCCCTAATTCGTCCCAACGTTGGACCCAAATAGATCACATCGCTATCAGCCACCGATGGAGGGGCTCGATAGAAGACTGTCGCTCATTCTGGAGCACATGCCTAGATTCAGATCATGCTCTAGTGCGAGCGCGTATTTGCTTGCGTCTTACTGGACGTAGGAAAGACGCTGCAAGGAAACCTCTTAGGGCCCTACTTAATGATAGTCAAGCTAAGAGTATATTTCAGGAACAACTAGGAAAACAGTTAGGCAGCCATGTATGTGATGCCCACCCCGATGCAGCATGGAATGATATCCGAAAAGCTGTGGAAACAGCAGTGATATCTGCTAGTAAGGTAAACCGAAGGTTAGGGAGCAACACTGGATCTCAGCAGCATCTATCGCACTGATAGATGCTCGGAAACTCATTCCACCTGGCTCTGAACATAATGAAGAGCGGAGTCAGCTTAAGCGCAAGCTGACAAGAAGTCTACGCAATGATCGCGAACAGTGGTGGGTAGCGAAAGCAAGAGAGATGGAAAAGGCAGCGGCAATAGGTAATAGCAGACAATTGTTCAGACTCGTTAAGGAAACCGGAATTAGGAACCCGACCGTTAGCGAAACAATCTCAGAGAAAGATGGACATATTATTTCAATTGGATCGATGGGCAGAACACTTTAGGGATCAGTTCAACTGGCCTTCAGCCACACTTCGGTTTCCCACGATCTCCAGTCAACCTGAATGGCAAGTTAATGTAGGTCCTCCGTCTCTTTACGAAGTTGAAAAAGCCATAGGAAATCTGAAACGAGGGAGAGCAGCAGGCCCTGACAGGTTTACTCCTGAGATTTTTAAGGATGGTGGTCCAGTATTAGCAATGAGATTAACTGAGGTCTTAGGTAGAATTTGGGAACTGGACGTAATCCCATCTGACTGGTCTCAATCACTGATTGTGCCAGTCTATAAGAAAGGACAAAAGTCCTCTTGTGACAATCACAGAGGAATCAGTTTGACTAATATAGTGTCTAAAATATTAGCTTCAATAATACTTCGACGCCTAACAAAGCTCGTGAAGAGCAGACTAGAGAAAACCAGGCTGGTTTTCGACCTGGACGTGGTTGTATAGATCAGATATTCACACTACGTCAGGTTCTAGAACACAGACACACATTCAGACGCCCCACAATGGTAGTATTTCTCGACCTTAAGGCGGCATTCGACTCTGTTGATCGTGAGGTTCTATGGCAGTGTTTGTCACTGAAAGGAGTACCAAAGAAGTACATTAACCTTATAAAGGCTCTCTACTCGAACACAACTGGTAGAGTGAGAGCTTATGGCGAACTGTCATCAGAATTGATTACCTCAAGTGGTGTTCGTCAGGGCTGTCCACTCTCCCCATTCTTGTTCAACTTTGTCGTCGACGTACTTTTAGAGATAACACTCTCCTCATCTAAATTTACAGGGGTTGAACTTCTACCGGGAGGTTCACTTGTTGACTTAGAATATGCTGATGACATAGTTTTATTTGGTGAAGACGCTGACAAAATGCAGAGTCTTCTGACCACTCTAAGCAACAATGCAAGCATGTTCGGGATGCGATTCTCTCCCTCGAAATGCAAAATGTTGCTTCAGGATTGGGTTACATCGACACCCGAACTAGTGATAGGGAGTGAAGTAGTTGAGCGTGTCGACCGCTTCACTTATCTTGGAAGTCTCATCAGCCCTTGTGGTTGGTGTGTGACGAAATCTCAGCACGGATACAGAAGGCTCGACTAGCTTTTGCCAACTTGCGTCATTTATGGCGTAGGCGAGATATCCGTCTATCAACCAAAGGACGGGTTTACTGCGCAGCAGTTCGTTCCGTCCTACTTTATGGCAGTGAAACATGGCCGGTAAGAGTAGAGGATATCCGTAGGTTACTAGTATTTGATCATAGGTGTCTTCGAAATATTGCTCGTATATCATGGGACCATCGAGTAAGTAACACAGTTGTTAGGAAACGGGTACTAGGTAAGGATGGCAAATCAATTGATGAAGTAGTGAAACTTCATCAGTTGAGATGGCTGGGACACGTGTTACGTATGCCCAACGACCGACTGCCTCGACGTGCTATGTTCAGTGGTATAGGAGTAGGTTGGAAGAAAGCTAGGGGCGGCCAAACCAAAACATGGCACAAGTCCATGAAGTCACTGACAAGTGGACTGAGTCATGTTGGTAGGTGTAGACTACCTGGTTGGGGACCGCGAGATGATAGCAACCGATGGTTAGAGACCCTGAATGACATGGCTCAAAATCGTTTGCAATGGCGCAGGTGCATCCACTCTTTGTGTTCTCCCAAATTTTGATCTCCTTATTCCTTCATGTCTCTTTTTTTCTCCTCTCAAATTTATTTCACTGTATTATACTCTTTAAATAACATCTCCAAACACTAATCTTCCCGATTACTGCTTATACTCTTATTACCTCTACCACTACGGGATTTGAATCGACCACTGCATCTCTGTGCTAATGTGGTGTGGCAACTCGAACTGATGTACGTACGTACGAAGTTCTACGTTGTTACTGACTGACTGACGGAATTACTAAAGTTCTTATTCTCTTATTTATTAATTGAATTTCAATTTCGGATGTGGCTGCCTAGTTATTTGAACCTAACGTTTTCAGTCTTCCGTGATTGTTGAATTTAACTTCACCACTTAATATGTTAAGTCCTTTTAGTAAAACTTATTAAGAATATAGCAATTATTGTTATACTCTTTACTTACTTTTTTGAAAATTCCCACTTATTATTAAACCATCTTTCATGCTCATTAAACATTAATTAGTTTAGTGACTGTCTATATCGTTTTTATTATTCCATTTGAAATAACCAATCGTAGATAACAACATGGAAACTATCCAAAGACCCTGTCAAGTCATCTAGCTACACTTGGTCTCATAAAGATTGGAAGCCTAATCAAATTGATATAGATTTTATGCAGTTTTTAGATGATTTAGTTTCTGGTATCTTAATTCAACAACATATTCCAACGAATAATAATACGAATGAGACAACTATTGCTTCACATTCAAATCAATTGAATAATTCTGATAAACAAGGACAATGCAATGAAGTTAATGAAACACGAATAAATTTAACTCCTGCAATTTCAGAACAAAATACATCATTCAAACAACTTACATTTTCAGAATCCAAATGGATTATACACCAGACTCAGGTAATTTGGCTAACCTTGTCTTTAATAATAATAATAACTCACATCTGTCTAAACTGATAATTGGAGTGTTCGTTGAGTTATCACCAATCATTTCCCGGTTACTCTAATAGCTATACACGCCATACTATTTTAAAACAGACTCATAAAAGGTGTTCTAATCGCAGAATTCATCAACCTAATTCCCAATTTCTAAACGCAAAATTAGACTGTGATAACGTTCATGTATGTTTAAACGGAAAACAATTTTTTTATAATGTATATACCGTACTGAATAAAATTTTATTAACTCCTAATCGTATCTGTATGATACATTTGATTATATAAAAATATCTATAAGATCCATTGTATAGATGATTGAACTAATTAGGTACAATAACTATCCTTGTTTTGAAATAATTTAATCTATAAAAGTCTCAGTGCGCTTCACTTAGAAAAAAAACAGCTCCCCCCAATTCCGCTTCTACTGTGTGCTTAATTTAATGGCTATCAAGTTCTTTATATTTTTAGTAATAATACATTTTGTTTATGTATAGATAAAACATGTTATAGTTGGTCCTGTACGCAGATACCTTGCTACAATGGCTGGAGCTCGTGTATCGAATTCAGCGTATCAATCATCATCCGTATTCATGCATCATCGTAATTTAACTGCTGGTCATAATTCAATACATATAACTCATCGTCGTAAAGGGAATCGAGCTTCATTATTATTACGTAAAGAACATTTATTTTGGATGACACTTGATCAAGTAATGTGTGATCCAAAAGTGAAATCATCTTTGCAACAAATAAATAAAATATCAATGTTAAGAACTGTAAGTGTAATAATTGTTACTTTGATGGTGAATGGATTCTATGAACATTTAAAATTTACTATTTTATTTTAATTATTTAGATGGCTACAATCGCAATGATGCTATAAAGCAAATTTAACCAAATTCTTTCAAATTTGATTTAGTAGCCTATAAAATTTAAATATAGTATTTTTGTGGCATAGTATTCTATACACATAAAACCCAAGCATTTAAATAATTAAATGTCTGCAAGTGTACGTATTATCTATCAACGGGTTTTTAGAAATGAACCATTTAGATTATAATCACTTATTGATTTGCCAAATTTCTGTATTTATAATGTTATAACAGTTTTGATAATACTTATGCATACGTAATCTGATCACTTGTTTGTTGGAAATTTTGGTTTATATTCATCTAAAGTTTGTATCATCAGAATAGACAATTATCGTATCAAGTAGCGAGTTTTCGGTGTTGATTTATCGTGATAAAATTGAATTATATCATCACTATACAGTCTATTTGTTTAAACTGTTATTCATCATATAGTTTAAGCTTTATACGAAGTATCATTAACATCACAACATAGATTATGGCAACTAATACAGATCTGATTTATATACATAAGAAACTTGGAAAACAACCCCTTAAAACTAAGCAATATACGTTTTTCAAGGTCAAAGAGATACACGTATATGAACTTTCTTCCAAATTTTTGGTACAAATCAGTAATCAATCAATTAGTTGTTTAAACGTTCAGCGTTTTACATGATACTATATGAAGATTAGTGATACTACTTATTTGTTCAAACTGAAATAGTTGAAGTATTGTGAAGTTCAAATTATGCGGCTGATTGTATTCATCCAATTTCTCGTTTTTACCCATCTATATCACTTGATTAAATTCTTAGTTTGCTGCCGGCTGAAATTTCAGTGTAGAAATTTTTATTCGGTAGTTTATTTACAAATATATATTATTTTATATTTCTTAAATTTAAAGGCTGCTCCTTTCATTGCTCGTCAAATGGTGTTGCGTTTCAGTCATAAATCATTTACTCAAACTGTTTGTCAACAGCAAAGGGTTATAAAGTAGCTTATACTAGTTTACGTATTCGAAAAACAGGACGTTGTAAAAGAACCTTAAGGAGAAAGATATTTGAGAAACATTCCAAAAAAAATCAAAATGACTTGGAATCTTGTCATAATGAAAGGCAAATATCAATAACTGAAGATAATTCATTATTTAAAGACAATCTAAGCAGTTTGACATCTACATTTGCAGCTAGTTCCTCAGTGATATTATGTACTGACGAGACAATGACGACTGCTGAGGCCACGACTGCTAGCAGCAGCGCTACCACCACTGACACTGTAAAAACAACGACAACTGATGTTAGTGCTACTACTAATGTAATTGCTTCTACTTCTAATTCTTGTAATGCAACTGCTGATAAAAATACAATCGAGTTAACGGAGAGTAAACGAAAGTTGTTAGTACAAATTCATAGTATTTTGAAAGCTTTCGAAAGGAAAAAATACAATTCTTCAAATGCCTATGTTTTATCAACAAATATTTGGTCTCGAAGAATGAAGGCTACAGAGGCAAGTGTCATTATCATTTTATGTGTTACCACATAGTTTTAGTAAGTCATAATTATTTTTGGTGTCCGTAGTTTCGGGCGTTGCCAAATTTTGTGGTTCGAAATCTATGACTGACTTTGGTTAGTTGTGTCGTCTTCAACGACTAAAAATGTCCCCATCATAATACGTCTGAAAAACATTGAATTGAAATTTATTCTGAATAATTGTCACCTTCATATAATGTTTCTACCAATGCAGACATCTGTTTACACCAATATATATATATATATATATATATATATATATATATATATATATATATATATATATATATATATATATATATATATATATATATATATATATATTAAACCAAGTGTTTATTCTTAGCTTTTTGTAAATGATAGATTAGATAACTATCAGAAGACTGAGAGACCCTAATCAGTTATTGGTTCCTGACTAATGTCAAGTGCTAAAAGAGTGACAGGATTTTGTTGGTTGAGTCTGTAATATAGTTTACTTCATTTGACACTGTAAGCAGCAAGCTAATCAGTGGTAATGTTTCTAACAGAGGGAATGAGTTATACTATAGTAATGTCATTAAGGAACATCTATTTTTTTATTTAAGACGAACAACCTGTTGATAAATATCAACAACTTTGGTATAAGTTATTTTAGAAACTTTCAGGAGTCAATTAACTGTCTAAATTGTTTCAGTTGAATTTGGTATTTAATGTCACTTTAAAAAAGCTAAGTGAAAAGAAATTTAAATGGTGTATAATCGAATGATTATAACTTCTCAATCTATTCTTACTTAGGATAATTGTCTATACATCTTCTATCGAGGGTCATCGCAAGTTGTTTTTAGAAACATCTAATAAACTTATAAGGTTTTTTAGTTACTAATTTCTCAATTTCACCAAATAATAAAGCCTTTTTTTAGTGTCATGAATATTTGTTGAATTCTGTGTTACTTTTCTTTCTACCGAATCATGAGTAGCTACATTAATCAATATGATGAACATTAAATTACATTGTAGTTTCATTGATTTCGTTTTATTGTTTTGGAAATTTCTCTCATTTATTGTCTCTTTCTGAATAGCCAAATGCTGTTAATCAAGACCGATTCATTCCACCTATTATGCGTGATTTACCATCGAATATAGGCATTCGTTTATTCCATCAACCTGAATTAATAAATAAACGTTGTTTGGAAATTGCACGATCATGTTTACAGAATGGATTACATTTGTGTACAGATAAGACAGAATCATCTAAAAAAATAGATGTTGTAAAAAAAGGTACTGTTGATCAGTCAATTTCATGTACAACATCGTCAGATACAGTTGACTCGCAATTGATACAACCTAAGAAAGTACATATTCTACCACCAAATTATGCTACTATATTAGGTTTTAAAAGTCTTCTAATGCATTTATCTACATTGTTAGAAAGGAAAAAGGAAAATTTTCACAATTTACTGAACTTAGGTAAGTTATATATATATATATATATATATATATATATATATATATATATATATATATATTACTGTGTATTTTACAGTTTTGTCCTAAATTTATTACTCAAGTTTTGTGAAAACATTCGTACATAGTCTTGTATGATTCATTACTTTTCATTAACTTAATTGACTTCTTCTATTATGAAGTTTGACAAACGACACATACTTCTCTTAGGTCTTACATTGTTTTTATATCTGTCTATTAGTGTTTATTTCCGAAATAAAAATATTCGTGTATGGATAATCATGATAGCAAAATATATTTTTCAAAGTATAATACCCTACACATCTGATAAGTCTTGCGAATCGAACGCTATGCTCGTCTCCTAAGCCATTCTGTAACCCCCAAGCTAGAACTAGACAGCGACCTGAACACGAGAGAGAAGACTCAGAGTACGCGAGAAGTAGTTTACTCCAAGGTTCATTCTAATACAGAAAATACAGGGTTTTTATAATATTTTAAATGCTACTAAACATAGTGGCAGTGTAGCAGCCAACCAATCAGAGCCTCTGCATGTGACGTTTCACTCCCTTGATATTTTTGGCTAAGACTTCAAGTGAACGCTGATTGGATGAAACACGTCTTAGTGATTCCTGGTGCTTGCTTGTCTTTTGCAAGCAATTTTCTGGATCACCCCGACAACATCTTATTTAGTAGTTAGCCAAAAGAAATTTCTAAACTTTATTGTATAATAGAGTGAGGAAATATTTCAAATAATCATTTTAACCTAATAACTCTAGATGATATAAATGAAAAAAATTATGAATAAATCCTTTCGTATATCGGGATTTATTAAGCACAACTGAGGAATAAAGGACTAAACAAACATTAACATCAGCTAAGGCTCAATGATAGATCAATATTATATCATAAATATACTTCTAATACCATGAATTTTAAAAATACAAGAGAAATGAATGTAAAAATTATGTTAATTACAAGGCTTAAGATTAATTAGTAATATTGTGTGCACACAGAAAAACGTTTTTGTAATCGTGATTACATCAACTATAAAGTTAACATTTATGACCTAAAGAGGATCTGTTCATTGTTAGTTTAGAGATCGATTGTTAATCGAACGTAATCTTTTATAGCGTCAAAAATAAAATGAATACAATCTAACGTTAACAGAATTAAATTATTAAAAGAAAACGTATATAGTATAATGATAAAATTACATTCCCACCTTTCTATTTTCTTTATCGACATATTTTACAATTCAGTTATTCAAATAATATGTTTAATTTCATAATCGTTCTAATTTTGTGAAACTACAGGCGTCTCTTTTGTGCATATCCGGGCCAAACTATTACAGATGAAGAGTTTGAGAAAAGTAAGACTTGATTCTTTGTAAATTTTTGCTTATATAATATTTACATAATCTGTACAAGAAATCTACTCGAATAACATGTAAAAATCCTAAATTGAGAAGATAAAGTATAACATGACTATTATAAAAGGAAAAAAACACTAAAACTTTGCAATTCTCAAACGATGAAGCGCACAGATGTCAGTTATATCATCTAAGCCACAATCGAAAAAAAGTTGCGTGCTGATACGTGACTAATAATAAGTAAGCGAGTAAGCTTGACGAGAATATTGGGGATAAACGAAACCAGATTAAGCGCTACGTTCAAAACAATGCATGTCATTTAACATGACCGGTTTTGGAGAGTAGCGCTCATGATGTAATTGAGCAAGCAAGGAAAATTAAAAAATTAGTCCAAAGTATCAACATATCGGAGTATTTATCCCAATGTCTTTTGTTTTTCAATAAATAGAATTAAACGAATTTAAATCGTCTACTATGTTTGGTCGTCCGATTTTCAACGTGGCACGTACACTTTTGTCTTCAAAATATACAGATTTTATTAACAGATCACTAGCTCTTCTTTTGTGGCCTGCACTTCTGGCAAGCATACCAGCCAAATCATTTATGGAAGATGCTAAGCGTCATTGGCAAGAAGCATAGTAAGCATATATCGACTAACTATAATTTTTTATGATGTCTATTCTTTTGTGATATATATATATATATATATATTATCAAACATTCGGTCGGTCATATCTCTTTGAAAATATAGTGACTATGAAGTAGGTGATTTCGCGCGTTGTGAGATTTAACGTGATCACTTGTTGCTAATCGATATTTTTAAACATCACTGGTGTGAAACAGATCTGAAAACTGTATCAAGGAAGTATAAACTTTATTGCACAACTTATCCCACCTTATTGCCTAGTCTATACCATTCTAAATTTATATTTCCTCAGACTATTTGGAAAAGGTACAAGTAAGTGATCAACATGCAGTCAGTTTAAAGCGCAAATATTTTCTTCTATATCGTCAAACTCCCAGCACACACTGTATAATGCAATTCACTCCTTACAAGAAACATTTTGAATCCGCCCATTTATTGTTTCTTGCCGCAAGTTTTTTATCTACTACCTCTGTATATTCTAGAAGTGATTCAAAACTTAGATTTGTGTACTAGGGTTCCTGAATGATATGTTTTGACTGAAGATATGCGAATTATGCATCTCATTCACATCTTATTGATCTCTGGCCAACTACGAAATTCTATCGCAGTTACAGTGATATTTCTTCGTGTAAAAAAACTACAGTGACGAGGTGTAACATTTATCAAAAAGAAAATCTGCAACAGTGAAACTATATTTTTTACACGACTGGAGAAAATGTCTGCAAAGTTAAGAATATAATTATACGTACCATACTTCAGTATTTCAAAGCATTAAACATTAAAAGCGGAATTGTAAATTTAACATGCTTTTCGAGGTGACCAAAGTTATGGACTCATAATAATTTGAACACGTCACGATTCGAAAAGTCGTTAGTCATGTAAAGCAAAGATATTCTTTATAAACGGCTGTAGGACAACATATTCTGAAATAAAATTCTTAGTTGTAGGATTTTATTTTAATGTATGGAAAGCATCAATATTCGTCATACTAATGAGTACTATGTAAACTTTAAGTCACTTTATTAGTTTTTAATTGAAAGAGAATTTGATGTCGGTAATTTTTAAAGTCCTCAAAGAGTTGCAATAATGCAGAACATATAATTATCCGAATCTGACTTCAAAACAAGTCTGTGAGTTGTCTTATTTTTCTATTATTACGTAATATGTTTTTTCTTCTAGTGAACATTCAGTCGCTAAGTATCCCCAGGAAAATGATGAAGAAATCGCAGAAATTCAGGAGGATGACACTATTGCTCCAGTCAACAGACCTAAACGAAAACGGCGAAAACAGGATTATTTCATGAACATACCAAATAAAAGGTAGGTAAAACTAAGCAGTCAATGAGAAACTCCCAGATGCGATGATTGTGTGTACATTCTTGCCGTTCTTTTAATGTGCTCGATTATCTCTTAATATTCGAGTTGTTTTACAACAGTTTCATATGGTAGCTTTATACAAGAGAAAAGATTACAGATAGTACTAAACTGCTTTGAAATGCGAAGTCCTTATTTTTAGCGTCAACTAAGCATAAATAAAGGATAATTGTTTTAGTTCAGAAACGAACTCATAAGTAAATAATGCATGCTTTTTATTTATGATTAAAATTTCATGTGGATTTCCTACTACCTGATTTACTATTATCAGCATGTGGAACATGATTTTCAACCACCTCTTATGAAATCTGAATTCTCCCAAGGATTAAGTGAACAAAGATTAGCACATATCTTTCCATTCAACTACATTCTGAATACTAATACCTGCCAAAATATGTTGATGTCTTGAATGTACACTTCTAACGTCTAATATCGGCCGACGTGTTCGCCGTGAGACCAAACTCCTGAATTCGCTCCCTGGTAGGTTCGTGGATCTGCACTGTTAAGTCATTCGATGCTAAAACGAAATATTTAGTGCTTCTCAGTTTTCAGTGGGTGTCCCACTTATTGTTGGTTCGTGATATCGAAAACAAAACACTGATCAGAAATTGTGTTTTTTGTCAATGAATATATATGGGCACTTTACTTTCTTATTATTACTCCTCTGAAAAAAACCGGGCTATACTTTGTTTAACTAGACAATCCAATATATTCAGTTTACGAAACGAACTTGTGTCATCGAGAAAAACCAATCGTTCAATGTTGAAAATTATCATAAGTACATAATTTCTAAACGTTTTCTGCTTTTTTTTTCCAGGTTAAAAGAAATCATAATTACAACGCGTTACTTAATTTTGTCGGGTCAAGAGTTGATTGGGCTAAGCGAATAAATGGTACCATGACATTTACAATAACAAGTGAAGATGGTGAATTACTGCAGGTCACATTACCTAACGAGATAAGGATATTGTATTCATGTGGCTTCAAACCTGATTCATTTTTAAATCTTCGAAAATAGAATTTCAAAATTTCATGCTTTTGATTATACAAGATTCTATTACTTTATTATTTTATTTTTTAATGATACATATACACATTATAATCGAATCAGTCTTCTTCCTAATAATAAAATAGATTAGTGCTGCTTTGCAAATGATAGATTTGTTACAAGATTCATCTAATTCTATTATCATGTTGATTGCTCTCCGATTTCCTTCCTGTACTCTTCATTCTAATATTCGGCTGGTAAGCATTCTCCTTCCAACTGCTGTTACATACTACTAACATCTACCGATATAAATAGCGTACACCATAGTATTAGCTTCGAAAAGTTCATATCGCATACACAACTTGCACAAAATTCAGAAACGAGCTCCTACTTTAATGAAACTTTTCATTCGATCTATTTGCTTACATTTTCCAGCCTCGATATTTCATCCATTACAAACGTATGAGATTGTTATATTAATAATTTACGTCGATGATAGTTTGATAAATCTCAAAATTAAATTGACTGATGGTTGAAACACATTAAACCAAAGGGTACATCAAAATTCGCTCGTTATTTCATTCCATTGGTTTTTCGACAACACAAAATGAAAATGACAATATTTGCGAAATACGACGAACCCATTGGATTTTTTGGTTTGTAATCAGTTATATACAAACAAGCTGCTTGCAATGTAAATAAAGTAAACAATTGAAGTTTTAAAAAGGTTTCTATAAGTGTGACAGCTCTGGAATATTTGTGATAGTTTTCGTTGCGTAATGTAGCAAAGGTCTAGTAGGTTAGATCACTAGATTGTGGTTATAATTAATGTTTAACTTCATGTACATTTCACAATACTTATTGATGAAGGATTCACATTTCCAAATTCCAGATTAGGTTAAAACTTGAAAATAAGTAAACTTATCAGCATGTATATAACTGAGGAAATGCTAACTCTCTTACAGGTGATTATATTTAGTTATTATTGAGTGAGAATGTTTGTATGACTAACAAGCATTTCCAGAGAAGTTGTTTACATTGTCGAATTGAAAACGAATATTTAAGAGCAGATTGTGATCACTATTAGAGAACTACTTTAAGATAAAATCGTCAGTCCTTGTTCAAGCAAGTCTTTCATCTCAAAGAGTTATAATCGTATGTTGTTAGCAGTCGGCTCGTTCAGCACCAGTTTCTATTCTCGAGAAGTTTCTTAATAAACAAATACACAATAAAAAAGACTTTTGATTTCTCAGCAATAATATACACTGTACATAGTTGTTCTTGTAATATAACAATATCATTTACTACACATTCTGGTTAGAGATATGATTCGAAGTCACCAACTCAACAAGTGGGATAAGTGTGTTTTGAAGACAAAATACACGACAAGGTAGAACCGAAAGTATGGATATTTCTGATTGTTTTGAATTCTGTACAGTTTGATCCTCTGTATTATCCCATGTAAAAGTTATTGTATTGGTTTTTCCTGGAATTAAATCGTTGTTCGATAGTCCTTTATCTGGATCATCTTCCTTGACCGTTGCATTGTGTTGCCACTTGAAGACATTTTTCAAAAACTGAATGCATAAATAATAAATTTATTACAATTACTGATACAATAATTTTTTTGAATATAAACATGAATGTGGATCAATATATAATTGAAATAATTAGCTTACCTCTTTGATTTCTGTTTCGATGGTTAAGCCATAAGATGCGATCAAAATTCTGATTTTATTGGCGGACAAATCCATCACAGTACCATTTTCATAAAACGGGCCATAATCCTATTATTTTAGAAAAAAAGTGACTGTCGGTTAAGCTATCTCAACTATGATTTTTAAAGGTTGGAAAAATATAAACATTCTGGAATGGAAGAAAATAACAAGAAGCATAATGTTTAAGAAAAGTTGCATTGTGGTGAAAGTAATAGATACGTTGATAGGCAGACAATTAGTACAATTACCGATCATGTACTTTGTAGGAAAAATCGATTCATGTGCTAAGTAATTGCTCAATGTATCTGTAGTGAACGAGAACTCAGGTGAGGAAGACCAGCTTATTGTTCATTACAAAGTTACGGAATTCTTTCGTAAAATGTGAAAACGATATATTAAATAATTCATTTGCCAATCTTCCATCAACTGTCCTTTACATTCTTCATAATTCTTGCCATTCTCAAGTCCTTCATTTTTCCCTTTCTGTTTTCTTCAGTTCAATTTTATCAACCCTCTTTTGTCAAGCATTTCACTACTGATTGATGCTACATACTACAAATGTCGGCAGACAGACTTGAAGTAAATTAATATAAAAAGAGTAAATGTTGCGTGAAAATTAATGAATGAAACGGATTTAAAGTCATATGTAATGATATAAACAGTATATGAACACTCACTCTAAGACAAGCTGTAAAAAACAAACGTTGGCTTGCTTCTCCAGCTCGTTTAGCCTTTAGTCGACGATCATTACACCAAGCAACCAGTAAATCTACATCAGAATTCTTAATATCTTTTTGTATTGAATTATTGCTTTGAAAAGTTACTTGCAATTCTGGATAAACAGAATTATCACATTCCAATATTCTTGCCATCTGACGATGAGCAAGTAAATCAGCGTATCGTCTAATGGGTGATGTGAAATGTGTGTACAATGGTATGCTGAGACCATAGTGCCATGTATAATTTAGCATAGTTCTATTATTTCGTTTTAATATCGATTTAGGATCAAAAGACAGCAGTCGTAAAAAATCATCATCGTATGAGATATTTTCTAACAATTTTTCTTCGTCATAACGTTGCTAAGTATGTTATACATACTATCCAAATTAAAGTATAGAGCGACCTATAAAAAAAACAAGATATTAAAAAAATCTTATTTCATCCTGATGCACTTTAAAAAGTCTGCACTTTTGAGAACAATTTCCAAAGACCAACACTAATTGATAAACAATAGTGTCCGCGGACCCACCGAACAGTCACGGGTGTGTATCTATTGTCAGGGAAGTCTTACTACCTTAGCGCGACACGGATAGGGTATAAGCCTAGGATAGTTATAAAAACATAATTAAAAACTGCGGGTGCACACAATCTGTAGAATCCTGAGGGAAATGAAGTAAAATCCCATTTTTGTCACTGGCTACACTGGTACGAATTTTCTTATGGCTGCTCCACTGCCTTCACCATAGACTCAAAAGAATGCTGAATTCAACCCAAAACCTCAGTCATCGTTCTAATAAATTATGACATACAAAATTATTCTTGGTCACCGGCGACCATAGAACTACATTTAACGGTGCTCTTCCTCCTTATGGATGAGACACCTAGGTAAAGATGCAAAGAGTGGCGCCCTAAGCAAACCACCTGCTCCGGTTTGGGCACCAGGGTAGTATCTCACTTCACACATAAAATAAATGACAGTTATAACCATTTATGCTTTATTCTTCATTTTCATTAATTACATTCACGATGATGTAACATTCGTTTTTATTTTACATAACATCTCTCTTCAACTACCTGTTATTTTTTCAACTCATACAGTACTTATCCTATGGTGTAAATCCTGTCCCATCTAAACCATCTCACTCATCAGTCGAAATAGGAATGATACCAAGAAACACAAATTCTGAACCGGCCTTTCTGAAACCATGTGTGCCATTCAAACACCACCTTCAACATCGGCAACCTAACACAGATCGAACAACAGATAAGATGGATTATGTCACGAGATAGTGTCAACATCGATGTCTATCAAAGACCTATAGCCAAGACTTTCGTTAAGCACAACAAATTTGCTCGCGATCTGTAGCTTCAAAAAACTTATTTCAAGTGCGTTTGTTCAAGGACCCTGGGGCATATTCGTCTGATTTTCATGAGGTTGATGTTGCTCTATGCATGAGAAAAGTGGCCTCTTCGAGTTCAGGAGGCTAGACGTCTTTCTGTGTTTGAACATCGTTCTCTTTGAAATATTGCTGACAGTCAGTGGAAACACTCTAGAAGTAATCCACGGCTTCGCCAACCTATGTTCGGGCACAGTGAACATGAACCATTTGATGTCACCATCTTCAAACACCGAATTCCCTGGCTTGCACATGTACTACGAAGGTTGTCACAGAGAATCCAACATCGTGCACTATATACCGACGCTGAGACTGCTTGGAAAAAGTGGAGAGGTCGACAGTATATCACATGGTGTCGTGGTATGAACAAATGTCGTACACGACTGGCATCTGTCGGCCCTTCACAAATCATTAGTTAAGCTCCTAGAAAAAGTGAAACACAACGCTTACAGACATTATCAGATATGGCTCGGAATAGAAACCAGTGGCAAGTCTGTTGTAAACTTCTTTCAATTTCTTCATATAGGTATGAGGAACCTCTATAACTCAAATAATTCATTCAGGTTATATTTTTGTCAACTGAACTGTTTCTCCTATTATTATTATTATTATTATTTTTCTACTCTTATACACTAATTTCTATCCAGTTTCGTTCTGTTTGATTATAGTCACCTTCTATTCGCGATTTTCCGACAATCTTTTATTTTATTGTGCGGTGCATATTTATCTTGGTGTCCAGTTGTACTTATATCTATATGTTTAAATGAACATGTGTGAGGTATTTTAAAACGTGATATCGAATTGAAGTGTACATGTCAGAAGTGTTCTGTTTTTACAAAATGTGAAACAAATATATTCACTTTATATCATTAGTTACACGACAGAAGCACCAAATATAACTTATAAGTTGAGGGGTAAAATTACGAGATGCTGAACGAAGAACTTAAATTTACAAGTTCATTTTAGATGTATTCATAGATTATTGGAATTTGCAAATCAGATAGTTTTTAAGAGATTATGTCTTCTTCAATAATAAAGGGAGTATCGATGAAGTTACAATAAGAATGTTGAATAAAACGTTTGAGAAAAACACTATGGAAAACTCACAGATAGGCGGATATAGGTCATATATGACAAAGAAGACATCAAATTTAAGAGAAACGATTCGTTATAGGAGTTTTTTTCAGCTATACTGTGAGCCAAGTTTTTGACAGAACACTGAAAATAATAAGAAAAAATGTAATATTAAACAAAATTTAGAACATTAAAAATAATCTTCAAGTTTATGCGAATGTATACTTCTTTTTCTCAAAATAAACTCAGAGGCATGATGATCATTTAGCTCTACATCAACAAATAATGAAGTAAAATATAGGAACATAATCTAATGGTAATTACTCACGGAAAGTGAAAGAGAACTTGAGGAATCGAAGTCAATGTTGTTTGATTTTGCTATTTTTACCTAAGATAAATAAAAATAAACTTGAAAATAAAACATATTCCATAGTGAATAATGTACATGCATAAAGTAAACAAATGAATAACACAATGATCAAAAAACTATTGGATGAACAGTTGTTTTATGTGTAATGAAGGTCAGTAAAAAATGAGGTTTTTTAGTGGATTTAGAAAAAAATTATTTTTAATAAAACCGAAATCTAAAAAAGTTTCACTTGACAGTTGTGAATTTCCGTTCGTTTCAAAACAGTACTGAAAAACGCTATAATGAAGATAGGTTAAAGTATTCAACGGAATTGAAGAAGCATACACAACAATCACTGAGTTGATTTCTTCATATAAATAATTGTGTACAACAAGTAGACTACAAGAAGGGGGAAAAGTGTCCATAGATGTGTCACCCATCACTGAAGAATTAGTTAGAATTCGAATGCGCTGCTTCCATTGGTATGTCCTTAGACTTACGTTTGATTAATGTAGCTGAATAAGTATAACAATTTCTTCGAAATTTACATTCATTCTTTGGCTTAATAAGTATATATATGATATTAATTGTCACGCAATCAATTCTTTTTAATTACAAGTTGGATGGCGCTCTTCAGCAATAAGTAAAGGATTTCTATGAAAAACCATTAAAATGATTTCTACCAGTTGTTTACTCATAAATCCCATACGAAATATAAACACATCATTTTTCTATTTCACAAATTTTAATATATCGTCTGAGAAATGTAAAATTCATTTAAATGAATCAGTGTCATTCAAAACAAAACATATTGACACCTTGATTATATCCATGGTAGTGCAGTTTAAAAGAATAGATAGTCCACTTGGTACCTACTAACTGATCGGCTTCTATCTGCGTATTGATTTCTTTTCAAATCAGAATAAATTACTAGTAGATTCCTACGTCCGAGCATATTCATTGGAACACTTGGGATAGGAAGTCTACTGTTTGTTTCATAGGAATGATATTCATTATAGGAAATTATCTTTTTCAGATGATAATATTTAATAAAAATCGAATTATTACAGAATATATAGAAGTAAAACTTAAACGAATTCACCTATCCTATATCACTATATTAAGCAAAAAACTTCCCTATTCCATACTAATATCGACAAATCGGATAAGATAAAAGTTAATGATTTCGAGAAAAATTTGTTAGGTTTGAAACAATTAAATTATACGGAATGTAAATGTTTCAATAATAATTAAATATCTTTTTTGCTTATGAAACTTAAAAGTCATAATATAAGATGATGTCTTGTGTGAGTTTATTCGCAGTAATTTGTGGATATTTTTTTGAGAAAATGCACCACTAATCCCTGTTCATTTAGCGAATTCCGATAATTATGGATAAAGTTGTAAAACATATACGTTGGTAATCAAATATAAACAAAAGTTAAACAAGAGAAAAAATTACGAGCACAAAGTTTTTGAAATTACCAATTGACTAAATCTATTTCTATCCGGTTTCGAATGATTTCGTAGCGTTGCACCTAACCATTTCTGATTATTATTGCCCGTATCAACAGTAATTTCAAAAGGTTGCACACCTTTAAGGCGTTTAATAAAGTTTCCGAATAAAAATCGAGCAACAGATTGATTAGCAACAATCATCCATTCTTCAATTAAATGATGAGCAGGATTACGTACTTTCACAGAGAAACCCTGAGGCCAAAGTGTAGTTGAACTACAAAGGCATTGAAAATGAGAAATAGCCGAACATTATGCACATTTAACTAAAATGTATTGATGGCATATATATAATTTATACACTTCTGTTTAATAATGAAATCCCATTACGATTGAAAATTTTTATCAATTGAATCTTTTGTAATCTGAAATAGTTCACACACACACACACACGGTAAAATGAAGTAAGACAATTTAAGTATTTGCTAAAAGGCACTGTATAACGTTGAAGCTACTCCCAGCTAGTTTCAGGCGTTAGATACAGTATCTTTGAGCTTCACTGCCGTAAACATTTGACATAATGACAACATGTAACTGTTCATAAACTATTGATGATACATCACATAGCCAAACTATCGCGAGCAATATTGTTTGAATATTAAATAAAAGTGAAAGCAAGAACCTAACTGCAACATCTATGACAGAAAAGATGAATAAATTTAGAAATAATATTCGAACACGTATTTTTCTACTAGAAAAAAAATCAGAATAAATTAGCTTATGATATATTTATTAGTTAGATAAGTTTCTTCTAAATGACGGATACAAAATGAATAAATATCAACCAATTGGTTGGATCCCCTAGATTTTAACGCGTCTATACTACAAATTATTTGACAACTTCAACACGACAAATAAGCTAAGAAAATGGTGATGAAACAGAAACCACTTTTAAACGGACAAAAAAAAGGCTGTTCTGAGATATTTACCATTCATTTGTGCGTTTCTCCATTACAGGTAGTGGTTTTGGAAAACTAAAATTCAGTTCTAATTTGTCGAAAGATATAGCGCCATTTTCAATTCGATGACTACGTAGATTTGTTGCTATCTGCATATGGAGAAAAAAATTGTTAAAACATTGCTGTAGATAACATATTTTTAACTAGAGAAAATTATCAGCATAAAAATGAAAAAAGTTACTCAGTGCAAACAAATCAGCCAAATAGTGATTACCAAGATAGAACCTAGTCAAAAATTGTAAATAAATTAACTCATTCATCAGGTAATTGGGTATAAGCCACAAACACTATAGGTGTGACGGGTGTCAGTAGAACTTGGTACATATGTACATCGGTTCAAATCGACGCAACGCATTAGCACAGTGGAATAAAATAGTCGAAGGAAATCCAAGAGTAGTGAATATAGAAACAATGCTAGTGGCAATAGAAAATCTTATGCATTCAAAATACGCTTTGAGAAAAAACCCAGTTGAATAAATAAAACATTGTAATGTAATTTAAAAACTTTTAATCCTGGGTAAGATAACAAATATAGATAACAGTTATATCGTAAATATTATCCAAGAACTTAACGAATTCCGACCATAAATAAGTAGTTTCATTTTTGTATACGTAAATTTTTAAAAATTCTTTTATTGATCATGGTACACGACAGACTATGTAACTTTAATGTTCACACTACAGTTTAAGCAAGTCAGGAGTTTTGGTGAGGTTTCATCAGGCTTAACAAATATAAATACAAACATCTAGTAGCATTCAAATCTTTACAAACAGCTGGCTTAGTGGATCGGAATCTGTCTATGTTGTGGTTGGGCAACCGAACAATATCAAAAGTGTCTTCATAAAAGTGAGGTTGTCTAAAATCAAGGTATATAAGTCTACACTTCGTAAATGAATAAGAGTTAATAAGATAAGATTATAATTTTAATCAAGAGAATAATATTCCTGATAAATATGACAAAAATTATGTCCACTGTCGCAGTTTAGACTAATCACTCCAGCAAACTATATGAATAATTAAAATTCAAGAAAATCAAACTGGAATATGAAATCACAAATCACCGTTATACACAGAAAACTAGTGAGACTCAAAGTTTTCACATCACCGATTAACACGTAAAATAAAATTTACCGAACAATGAATAAATTAGCTGTTTGTTTGGTCCATCACACTCCCACGAAATTCGCATATGTCTAGATGACGTGGTGTAAAATCGACGTTACATTCATTTGTTACCTCACTTTGAATCTTGAATTGGGTATCAGTACTAAATTTTCACCTATAGATTTCATTTTTTTTGTCTAAACTATGTTTTCACTGCTATGGATATTATTACCATTTTCCTTCTTGATGAGTTAGTGTGAAGTTAAACAACTAGGACGAATGAGAATTCGGTCTATTATAGACGGGTCAATCTATTCCATAAAAATTGTGGTTATACCGAGACAATCCGCACAATTTGCTAATATGCCAACAAAGACTAAAAATTCAGAAAACGGCATAATTCAAATCCATCCTAACAACATTAAACACATGGTGAGGCAGTCAACGGATGGGTATCGGTATTATTAGATGCGGTATTTATGTGCACTGATTTCTTATCGATTGCTTCTTACCATCTAATAAATTTACTGTAAACCGAAATTTGGGAAATAATGAGAATTATCGTATCATATCCATAACGGGAACCACACTTCAGCTTTCAACCTCGACAATTTCATTTTCGACAACCACACTTCTATAATCATGAGCAATAAGTTGAAGTATAATTTCACAGGTATTTATTTCAAGTTACACGTGTGATGTTAATTTCAACTAAAATTAACTACTAAGATGACATGACCATCAACTAAGGAGTAGAGACTTGGCAATTTTTTAGTTAAGTAAATAGCATTTATATAACTTCATCAAAGGAAATAAATCTGTGAAAAAAGAATTATCCGGGACACCAACTAGAAATTATGATATTACAAAAAAGAGGGCGCAATAAACTAATTAGAAAAAGGGGAAATTACCAGATGAAGAGAAGATAGACAATTTTGAAGATCTTCAAACGTGAAAGGAGCTTCAGGCTTAGGCAAAAATTCTAATAAACGTGATTTATCTTCGATGGTTGGATTTGACTGTGTCGTTTGGATTATGCTCCAGGCTTCGTCATATGTCAAGCGGCAACGTGAGCGAATTACACTTCGACCGAACCATTCATTGATAATCTGAAATATTTTTTTTTATTTTTAGGTAGACAACATTGAATATGGGAAAAAATAAAATGAATTTTAAGTAATCAGTCATGTTGCATAATAATAGACTCCGAGAAAACATTATAAGCAGTTTTTTTAAGAAAAACGAATCGCATGCATAGTTAGTTCTGGATAAGAATTTGATAGATGTTAGTGAATCGGGTGTGAAAATGTAAAATTGGCCTGACAGTTGTGAATGCCAAATAAGATTATAGGCGTATTAGTCCAAATGATATGCTCTTAAATATCTATAACCTATTTCGATAATATAATACAAATTTAAGGAGAGCAAAAAGTTTATTGGATGTGTCTGACTAAACTTAAGCTGATTAATTTGAAATAAGTATTGGACAAAATGACTAGGAAGAGAATGTGAAAATAACTATGATTATAATCACTATATTAAATAGTCTCTTTCAGTTACTTTGATATTTATTTATTTGAACACATCGATATTGGTAGAAGGAAGCACCAAATACATATGCGCCACACAAATCTCACCTGATTTGTGTGACGGCTGTGGTACTGCCCGGGTACCCAAACCGAAGCAGGTGGTTTTCTTATGGGACCACACCTGAAGCCTTCGACCTAAAGGTCTGACCCACAAGGCAGTGGAGCATCGTAAGGAGAGTGAGTAGGACTTCCCTGGAAGAGGCTATATACGCGTGGCCATGTGAGAGTATTTCGAGAGGGAGAGTGGACTCTCCCCACTCAGCCGCACCAGGGCATGTAGGGCCACCTTGATATTTACACCGGTGTGTATTAATTACTAGTGTATTTTGGTTCTATGCGTCAAACTGAAGTATACCAATGAAGCATTCTCATTAATTATAGGAGCATCTAATTATTGGAATATTAACGTCATGCGAAATAAATAGATATAACCAAATTATCAATAGGCAGTAGCTGACATCATACATAGATTCCAAAAAGTGAACAAAGATAAGAACTTTGTCGTTGTTTAATTAATATGGACTAATATACCTTATGGTTAAAGGCGGTGAAAATAAACACAATCTAATTCATTATTAACAAGCGAATGACCAAGTATCTTTTATACTAATTAAACTATTTTAACAACCCTTTTATTTCGCTATAACGTTTATTACTGAGAATATTTCAACAGCGTTAGCAAGCCATTTTGAAAGTAATCAAAAAAGAATCCTACTAATTTCGGCTGCCCTAATCCACACAGAAGGTTAGTAATCTAGATCCTTTGTTAATTATCAACTAAGACTTTATGTAAACAAAAGTAAAAAGAGATCCTAATTTCTGGAGAAAAATCAGAGCAAGCAGTCCGCTCAAACACGGATGAGATCAGTTCATTTTGGGTAAAATCAATGAATACTATGTCAAGTACAATATTAAGCGATCGAAAATAAGAATTTTTTCAAAGACTAACCTCACCATTCTCTTTTACTGTTAATAAAATTGAAAAAGCCAATCGATCTTCATTAGGTACAAGACTACATAAATGTTGTGAGAGGATAGGTGGTAACATTGGTATGACCTATTATAAGGGAAAAATAAAATATACTTAAGAGTAGAAGAATATATAATTGTTTGACAAATTCTGTTTACGACAAAACATCAACAACCGAGTCAGATTACATTAACTAGTAATGTTGATTGGAAATAATAGTGTTGGATGAAAAAGATTGAAACGAAAAAACAAATTTATGTTCATCCATATAGTTCATTAAATCATACAGTGAAAGACAATCAACAGAATCGAATTCAGCTACTTTAGGAGAGCGAAATACCCAATATGTGAACTTAAGTTTAAACATCCAATAAAAGACAAATGAGCCATTGAATGTCAGGGACACAAATAAAATGGTGTCAAAGTTGTATCACTTTATTAGGAACAAGAAGAATATTATTAAAAGTAGTGCATAACTCTTAACTGTTAGAGTAGTAAATAACCCATGAAGTGAACGGTTAAGGAGATTTTTCTTTAAAGAATCTGATCAAGCATAATTTAACATGTACTGTACACTAAACGACAACACATAGCTGTGTCAATCTGATGTCAATGAGTGTTGAAAATAAATTCAGTGCTGTTTCGGATATCACTAAGCTATCTGAAACATATAAAGCGTCAAAGGGTGGAACACACTGGAAACAAGAGTAACATTACAAGAAGGTAAACGAATCAACACAAAAATACAAACATAATTGGATGAAATCGGTAAGTCGTGGTGACAATATATCATACAATACGTAGATCATAAAAATGTTTAAACATAAAATAAGTCATTGAAAATTGGAAAATCGTGGAGCACAAAACAAAACAACCAGAGAATAAATGGAAAAATTGTGAAAGAAAATCAACAATACCATCGGAGAATAATAAAGTAAATTCATTTCCCATATTGGTGAGTTAAAAAAAATAAATGGTCGCTGAAATAATGAAAAATTGGCTTACTTTCTGAACCAGATAAACGGAAGTAGTCCTATCTGCAGCTCTCTTATCTAATGGACTATTAGGGTAAACAAAGTATGATACATCTGCAATGTGGATCCCAACTTCGTATAAGCCTAAAAACGAATGAAATAAGAGTGTAAATCTATTACTGACTATAAGATAAAACATGAAAAATATATATTATGCGTTACAACTAGTTTAAATATACAGTGATGTGCTATGCTTGAAGATATAAAGAGATCACTTAAAATCCGTGAACGTAACGAAGGATCAGTAACACAACGACACGATAGCTAAAATATTCCAGTGTGTTCCAGCCCCGCTGACTAGAGAGAGAAGTCCAAGATCAGAAGAGAGAAATATATTCCACAAGCAGCCAGAAGCACGAACAACAACAACAACATCGATCTCTTTGAAATATTGCTGACAGTCAGTGGAAACACTCTAGAAGTAATCCACGGCTTCGCCAACCTATGTTCGGGCACAGTGAACATGAACCATTTGATGTCACCATCTTCAAACACCGAATTCCCTGGCTTGCACATGTACTACGAAGGTTGTCACAGAGAATCCAACATCGTGCACTATATACCGACGCTGAGACTGCTTGGAAAAAGTGGAGAGGTTGACAGTATATCACATGGTGTCGTGGTATGAACAAATGTCGTACACGACTGGCATCTGTCGGCCCTTCACAAATCATTAGTTAAGCTCCTAGAAAAAGTGAAACACAACGCTTACAGACATTATCAGATATGGCTCGGAATAGAAACCAGTGGCAAGTCTGTTGTAAACTTCTTTCAATTTCTTCATATAGGTATGAGGAACCTCTATAACTCAAATAATTCATTCAGGTTATATTTTTGTCAACTGAACTGTTTCTCCTATTATTATTATTATTATTATTATTATTATTATTATTATTTTTCTACTCTTATACACTAATTTCTATCCAGTTTCGTTCTGTTTGATTATAGTCACCTTCTATTCGCGATTTTCCGACAATCTCTTTTATTTTATTGTGCGGTGCATATTTATCTTGGTGTCCAGTTGAACCAATGTGTATGTGTTTAAATAAATGAACAAATAAAATATGCACTAGAGAACAATAAATGTGGTTTTTATTGAATAGAATAGAGCGCACAGGCCTAGTAAAGAAGTATACTTTTACATTGTTTTTTCGAAGGCAAGGAAATATTTTTAGAAAAAGTAACATAAGATGACTTATTCTTGTAGCAGTAAAGTCACATTATATTAGACTGACTAAATGTTAAGATGATCTAAAGTTTGATAAATTTTTCTATCAACCACATAAATCATTAATTTATTTGAAGTGAATCTCATATTTACAAACGATATTCACAATTATCATTGATTATTAAGAGTGTATTAAATTCGTTTAGGATCAGACACATTTATAAGTGGAAAGAGCTTTGTTTATACTAAATGCTAATAATTTTACCATTTTTCAATCGAGTGATATGTAATGCATCATCGAAATCTTTCGCATCTTTTGGATCAATGGTGACAATACAATGAGAACGGAAATCTTTCCTTCTTTTATATTCTGCTTCGGGTATTTGAAACTCTTGTGGGCTAGTCGGCAGACCTTGTAATTCCTAAAATAGAAAGATGTAAGACATCAACAGTACGTGATCTAAAGGATTTATAATGATATTATATTAGGAGGATAATAATTTTTTGAAAAGTGAATCATTTTGAACAATTAACTTACCTCTGGTGTGAATTGATCGTCAGTGATTCCATGTTCTAAAAGAATATTTACAGTTGCCTTTTCCAGTTCATTCAAATTTCCGAAATTTTGTTCAATTACCCTGTAAATAATTTAATTTTTGCACACATACATAAAAATCATAAGGTCAACGGAAGTGAGTTTATTTAATTTAGAATTCTGGATGAAATTATGCGTTCTTAATATCTGAACAAAACAACGACATTCTAAATATGTTCTGTGACACTTAAGTAGGTGGGCACCATTACTACTACCACTAAACCGATTCATATGCACTAATCATTACAATCTAATTGAAAAAAATAATGCCATAAATCAATACTACTTCAGGATATGATTAAGAGAGAGTAAAACTTGTAACGATGCAGAATTACCACTATTTTTCTTTAATGAAGCATGAATGAAGTTGAGGAAAAAAGAAATTGAACAGTTATTCATAGTTCAAACAGCATAAATCATTAAATTATAAATGATATTTACATATTTTCAATTGATTTTTGAGGATTAATTTTAAAAGATGAATAAAAGACAACATACAACTAAATACACAATACAATATATGGATGGTGAAATTTTTACATTGTTAATAAATATTTACTTAGAAATGAAAGGAATAATTAAAAATGGTAGAGTAATATTTGTTTGAACTATCCTAACAGTACACTACTTATCTTACAAATGATGTTCTTTTATAATAATAAATAGGTCACTCTTTGCGCAACTCTAAAACAAGATGCTGGAAATGCATGCCAATAGATGTAACATTCATGATTAACTAAGGAGAGTATAAACTGGAACATATAATCCTTATGGAAAATGGAACTTTACTTAGTGAATCCTTAGATTCCCTAAAAGGGTCGTTAGAAAGTGTAAAAAAACAGAGCGATTTCCTGAATAGATGACACGAAATCAAATGACAATGAAAATGTCAATTTAAAAAAAATACTTTTCAATGTAAATGAACTTCATCGCAGAATATCCATAAACTAAAATTTGAAATGACAGTATTATTTAAGAACGAACCGAATACTGTCAATGGGTCAATCATCCAACCAAGAGAACTTACTACTACCAATATTACACTCCCTGTGTAAAAGTATGGGGATTACTATAGTGATGACGTGGGAAAGGAAACTTTGTCAAACAAAAAACGAATTACATGATAAACTAGCTTGATTAAATGACATTAAATTAAACAAACTCGTTACCCAAGAGGATATTTTGAGTTTTCGAACCATTTTGTAATTCGACACACATAACTACTTTTTAATCCAAGTTGATGATCTTTTAGTGCATCTGTACAAACATAAAAAGTGGTTTTTTTCAAATTAATACATGACATGTAAATGGATTCAGATTAAAAGAAATGTCTGCTGCAAGCTATAATACAAATTTTAATTGTGACAGAATACTACTTCATTGTATGGGAAATAAAATTACTAATCAACAGTTGAAAAATGAAGCGATCTCCGGATTTAAACTTTCGAACTTTATATATCGAAATTCTGTTCCGAAAAAAACTTTATATCCATCTACCATTACGAGATGAATTTAACGGTACGGTTTTAAGGCAGAGATTGAAGGCAGCCATCGGAAAAACAAATGCTGCTAAACTGGTTATGACTGAAAAAACTAAGTCCATGATTCCAAATAGACCTGAAAAATGCACGGACGATTACGTCACATCCCTCTGCATTTACCAGTTTACATGTTTGTGCGGACACACATACATAGGGGGAAGTAATCGAACAATGCAATCAAGGGTTATAGAACATGTGCCTAGATTGTCTCAAAACCAGTTAATGTAAAATGCTCCGAACAACGTGGATAGTAGAAAAGCATGTTCATCTATTGCAAAACACACAAGTGAAGAAGGACACAAAATTAACATCAATACAGTATAGAAAACGTTTTATGGAAATTGTCAAGGACGAATTCCCAGGTTAATTGGAGCCTTGGTTATTCGTAAATTTACCCCCCACCTATGTGTACAAAACCAATTTGTCGTAACCTTGAATTCACCCTGATAATCATTCAGTCATTTTATGGCCTAGGGTAATGCGACAACTTCCTATTCTTTTTATATAATGTTAATTTTCTCTCTCCTTTATTACTTTGTTCGCTTGAACCTTCATTTAATTGACCTTTCAACTCCGTTCTCTCATTTTTCTATTAAAATTATCTAAGCACATATGAATGATTAAGCAGAAATATTAAGGGACATGAATTATAATTTAAACAAGTGAATAATTTACGCAAAATATTTAAAACCTATCTTATGAAACTGTGGAAAATATTGTACCCAATCAGAGTTGAACAGAAGCATCTTAGAAGGCGAAGTCATGTGCCACACTTCTGATTGGATAATTACCCATATGTTGCTACAATATTCAGTATGGTTTCAAAGATTTTCAGAAGCCCAAGGTCATCGGAAATACTATAAATACCCTCGATTTTCTGTGAGTAAACTAACCTTAGAGTAAAGCGTAGTTTGCACATTCTGTGCCTTTTCTTTTGTGCTTAAGTTGCCGAGTAAATTTAGCCGGTGGTTATTCGAGTGTTCAGTTAGAAGAATTATCAGAAACCGTAAGACAATCAGAAGTGGAAAATTAAGGTTTTTATTTGTCAGCTGAAATTACACAACTAAATACCAGTCATAGCTATTTAAAATATACATCTATGATTCCAGAAATTATTTTCAGATATTATTAACTACAAAAATCATTTTGATCACTATATTTATTGCAAAGGTTTAAGCATTCGTGTTGTTATACTTTAGAGATAATCAAATAAGCTTTGATCTGTATATGAACTAATAGGATGAATTTCACGATATTGTCTGCATTTACAACAAGTAAATTCATACATTATGTCAACTGAACTAGTAATGTGTATCACGAACAATGCTAAGGTTGAATAAAACGTTTAAAGTTGAAACAGTAAGTTGTTTGTTAAGGTTATATTATATCGTAAACTGGACACTTGCTTATTCCGAACTACATTTCCTACGTTTAGCTTAACAGTTTCGTAGATTTTGACTTAACGTTCTACAATTCTTAGCATGTTGATTTCTTGTCTTGAAGTGAAGATCGGTGGTAAATTCATTCGATCGAAATACATTATCAAATTTTAAATTCACCACAACTGGCCGATCATCGTGAATAAGGTTACGGCTCTTTATGTGATTAAATTAGGGTACTGGTTTCTGGATTATTATGAAAAGTGAAATGCTAGTATAACGAATAAACAAGCAGGACGAAACACATTACTTGGATATCATCGTTTGCCATCATTAAGATTACATTGCATTTCAGTCTCAACTGCGGTTAACAAGCAACTGAATAAATTAAAATGTATCATCATAGGATTCATGCTTTTAGACATATATCAACGTATCAAAATTTTTATTTAGGTTCAAAAATCCACTACAAATCAGTCTTATTAGTCAAACTACTGTTAATATAATGGACATTTACAAAAGATAGTGCTAGCAAGTAAATGAGTGACAATATAAGTCATACGGTAGAGTATAATTTGTAAAATAAAACCAGCTTACCCGAAGGGACAGTAGATGGATCTATGTGAACTAGTGGATGATTACTGGAAGAAGGGAGAAGAACACACGAGTAATCTCCATGCTTTTGTGAAAATTCAGAACTACGATTTAAAATACTTGGATAAAAAGCAAGACAACCCAAAATTTTCTGATTAGCTGGATTTGATTTCAAAATTTTTCTAACTACACCTGTACGAACTAAATTAGGATTTGGCAAAGAACACAATGCACTTGGTATACAAGACAGATCTAAATTCTTAATTGCGTCCAATAATTTAGTATCGCTAATATTTTGAGAGTTTTCTATCACATAACTGATAGAGTAGAACCAAGATTTTTTAAATTCTATGGATGTAGATGGTGTTTGGTCTGCCAATATTGGTGATTCACTAGCAACAACTGCTTCAAGTGAAGTAGAACCAACAGCCGAATCCAATACAGAACTTTCATCCGTAGACTGAATTACATCTGAAATAACCATCTCACTATCTGAAATATCCTTTTCTGGAGATTCTAAATTTTCAATACCAGTTAACTACAAGAAAAAAATGAATAGACAGAGCGAAATTTATAATAAATAGAGAAATTATTTTTAAATTATTTGGCATCGATGTAAACAGAAAAATAAAGCCATGACGGACAACGGAATCTACTTTTGGGGATATTATTTCATTTAATTTGTGAAATATTGAAATTTAACTTTCTCCCTACATTATTCTATAAACTACAAGCATTAGTTTGACGTATGACTTACTGCCATGACATTTTCTATTCCAGAATTATTCTAATTTAAACGTACCTTTTGTGCTCTTTCTCTGCCCTAGTGACCAGTTTATACAGAATTGTACTTACCTAATTGTTTGTGAGTAGTGCTTGTGTTAATCATCTATTTACTTATATATCGTTTCATACTAATCTGAGTCGAATAGTGTTTCAATTGACTCGTTCTCTCTCTCGCTTGTCAATCAATCAGTTGATAGAATAGTTTTCGTCTCCTTACCTAAGGCCGTTAGCCCCAAATCGGACTCACGTATCTCCAACCTCAAGGCTGAACCAATTAGACTATCATGTCAAGACCTTAGCTTAGACAGTGACAACTCTCACGCATATTATTGAGTAGACAGACCAAGGACGCAACAGTCATCGACTAAAAAGTTTTGATACTTAAGTTGTGAAAGATAAGTATAATTTAAGATACTCTGAAGAAAAATTGAGGCATGATTTTACCTTGTTAAATAAATAATTTTCAAGTAAAAAATACATCTAGTAGCTGTTTAGAGAACATCCATTGAGGTGAAGGTTCGTTGCTATCAGAGTAAACAAGTGTTAGATGATACTAATATAGGTTTCTTGCATGGAGAGAGATGAGATCATCCTCCTAAAGTTTAGCATGGAAGCTAAACCAGTGACTTATTTGTTGGTTGGCTTCAACTGTCTAATACAATTAAGAAAGTTATGATAGAAAAGAGTGAACAGTACTCATAATATGTACTATAGTGTCCAAAACATCATCAGGCTGTTTCGTTGTGTATCTTTTTGGTGGAAAATAATAAAACGATAACCAGATGGATTTCAAAAGACAATCCAAACTTTTAGATTTCAGTTAGTTGACTGAAAAAATATTTTTGTATTTCCCAAAAGAAATGAAAACAGTGGGATATTTATGAACTGTCATATAATAAAAAAACATTGACATTTTATAACAAAAAATTAGCTCTACTAACTAAACACATGTAACAAATCCATGATATTTACGAATGAAGATAAACGATTTATATGTTTCTAATCTATCAGTTAGTCATAATTAATGTGGAACCAAGCATTAATGTGTGCTAACCCAAGATGTCATTTATCACATACACGGAAAGAATCGAAATTAACGAGGTGAATAGAAAATGAGTTGAACTAATTGAAGTAGCAATCGAAATCAAATACACTATTCGTACAATGATGGTAAATATTGAACGGAATAAACAAAAATGCGAGACTATAATTTATGAACGAACTAGTGAAAATACAGATAGCAATTCCTGGATTTAGATGTGAAGTTCATCTATTCATATAGTTAAATAGTATTTTTGGATTATAGCTAATGTCAGTTCGTGATGAAAACCCTTATTTTAATTCTTAACCATAAATTCTAATTCTAATTCTTTACACTAATTTATAACCCTATTTTAACCTTAGTATGTAGGTGACCAATGTCACGTTAGCGTCCGTCAAACGTCATCAATAAATTATAGTTTCACCGGAAAAATATATAATCCACAAATTGGTAACACATGGTAAGTAAATAAAATTGATTATGGGAAAATATATCAAGGGATTTACTTTCCATTTTCCAATAGGCAATAATTCAACCAAAACAATATCTCCATTACGTGCATTGTTACAGTTTTCATGAGAAATTTGAATACGTTTACCATCGTATGGATTTATCACATGAAAATTTTCTCGTGATATTTCATATAATTTAGCCTGAGAAAAAAAGAAAGCGGACTCTAATGATTTGAGTACTATGTGCCGAATATACATGCTAACTTTGAATGAGTGAATAGAACAAAACTGTGTCATCAACGTTGAATATGATCTCCAAATACTTCATTTATTATCAGTATGAAGGCTCTGGAGATTGTTGAATATTATTGAGATCACGAAGCGATCGAAGTTATATCTCTTGTAACCCGTATTCTACGTTAATCAAGTAGCGAAATTAACAATGTCATCGATAAAAGCCTAGACCAAACAAGTGTCAACTGTTCCCAAATTTTTAATGAATAACTCATATCGGTTCATAATATCAATTATTATGAACCTATATAAGTGTGATTTACATTGTTCATTCTCGTTTGTCTCCCACTCTTTTGCGTATTGCTTTATACTACTTATTTACATTCAGTAAATAGTTGTATTCCCAGTAATTTTCAAATTTACGTTGTGACGCAAGTTCGTCGTGTGAAACATTTAAACCTGTTTATAGCATTTATTGTACATATCATTATGACTACTTTACCTTAATTACTGTATAAGTTATCTACAGTTTTGTGTATTTATTCAAACGCAACAGCCTCCATATTGTTTTGCTCTTGTTTCGGGTTTCGGTTGTTGATAAACTGTTACCAAATTTAGACACAACTATCAGCTGTCTTTTGTATCATCGTACGTTGTAATTGTTGTTACAAGGAGTTTTTTTATTCCATACAAAAGAACGCGTTAAACGTCACAGACACCTTACAAGTTGAGGTTTGTAACTAAATTTTGTGCAATATTCAATAAAGAACCGCTATTCTAGAAAAATCGTTGTTTTGCGAACTTCAGTTTCCAGTGTATCTCAATTGGGTGACCTGGATGCTTCGATAAACCTAACACAAACAAAAGATAATCTGAGATGGAGTTTCAAGTTCGTGAGTTAAAGATTCCTCTTAAACTCTAAACAATACAGATTGAAGTTAAACTTTACACTTTTATTCTGACCATCATAGCAGAAGTGTTCATATAAACACAATTAAACACGAGTTACAATTCTGTACTTGACCAAGCGGTGATTAAATTGTTCCGATATGTGAAAACAAAAGATTCGGTATGAACAGAATCGCTGACAACTTGGATGAAATTTTTCGTAAAGCATTTTAACACAAAAGAATAATAAAATGTCGTGCTTTAGTGGTGCTACAAATTTTGTACGGTCACTTGGTAAAGTTAATTTATCATGTCATGGTTAGTCATTATTATTATCTTATTGTTATGACGTCAAAGAATCATATGAGAATAAAGTGTAATATTTTCAGGAAAAATAGTCAGAATAGGTGAGTGGTTTGAGACTGTGGTTAAAATAAAAAACTGAAAAAACAAATATCTGTTTCAATACATAACTAGTTTAATAAATGAAAAACCTCATTTTATGGTTACCTCATTCCTTATATTATATTATATTATATTGTAAAACGTAAATGGTGTGCTATAAAATGTCCCAAATTTGAATACTGACCATCCGGAATCACTGTGAAAACATTAATATCAAACTTCCTTACAAGACATTTGATCTATTTTCTAAAGTAAAGTTTTCATAACACGAAAAATGAAAAAATCATTTTTCTACATACAGTCGAGGAAAGTGTTTCATAACATCAGGGAGATGAAAATCATGGAAACCTATCAAGTGAGTACTATTTTTTAGGAAAATGACTTTATATAAGCATTTAAACTTGCATCAAAATAAAATGTATCTAACAATATTTAACATTCATAATTAAGCACTCAATACAAAAACATTTATGAATAACAAATCCAATTTCATTAGTCCAATAGATAGAATACTCAATGAGATTTGAAAGTAATATTTGTTCACTAACCTGAATTAAACTACCTTTCTCAATACGTGCATCAATATTTTCACAGCTAAAATCAACTTTCTTTTTTGTTTGACGAGAGTGCTATGTATGTTTAAAGAAAGAAGACAATGATTATAAATTTCAGAAATTAGAAAAATGAAGGTAATTACTAAGCAGGGCTTGCAATTGACTCTCATTTACCGATTAACTAAAATCCCGGTACATGAGATATTGAATCATTCAGACTTATGGACACAAACCAAATCTATCAACAAGATCCGATCAGTGATGTGTTAGACAAGCTTGAGATTGGTTTATAATGGCTTGGTGAAGCTTAGAAATAAAAAACAAATACAGTAATAGTGTAGAAAAACAAGTGAAGTAAAAAGGCGGAAATTAAAACGTCAACACTGCCACCAACGTAGTGGAAGAACGTAAACAATTGCATGAAACAATATTTACATGTGAACGCAGATAGAGGGGGTTGTATACCGAGTTTAGGAGTTGAGTCATGGATACGAATGGTATTTCGGACCATGGTGAGGAAGATGAAAACACTAATATAACAAATTAATCTTGTTTGAGGACAGTGAATATCAAGCAAGCTAGAAAAATTTGTTTGTTTCGATTTATTTTTTATAATTGGGATTTTATAAATTAGTTCCAAAGTTTAAAAAAGCTGGCAGTATATTCTTAATTCATACTGGATCTTATCGGAAAAAGCATACCCTGTGTGGATTCATGATGTACATCTTCTATGACAATTTTGAACTAATTGAAATTTATGTCTGAGATAATGATACATCGAAATTTTAGGGCTCATAGTAAAATCTACCGATTGAAGTTGTAAACCTTGACATGAAATTAACCTTAGTAACACCAATTATGTAGCTTAACAAAGAAATATTATGAATTAATTTCTAGGGAATGTTGATATACTTTCCAAATTATTGTCCTATTATTGTGGAATTACCGATAAACCATTGGACATTTCTTATTTAACGGCAAAAAATGTATGCCTTTTCCATATGTTCAAAGACTAAATAGAGGAGGATTTTCAAATTAGCGATACAATAAATAACAAAGCCAGAAGCAGTTTTAAAGTGAAAAAGCTATAATTAAATGAATATGAGCATTTCAGAAAGACAAATTTTAACACAGAAAGAGAAACAAATTTCTCTTGAAAGCAGTAGAGTCGTCTAGTTTAGTTGAAAACGCCTGTTTATCATGTCCAAATACTAATATATGATATGCTCCTTCTGTAATTCTATTTAGATAATAACATTAATCAAGGTTCCCTTATAAAAAATACCATAACAAAAATTAGGAAAGTGCAAATTTCATTATATATGTACCATTATGTAACTCTTGAATTGTGCACAACGCTACTAAAATATACAAATAGATGATGATCATTATTACAATATGAAGTATATATCATATCCGGACGAAGAATAAGTGAATAGTAACTGCTAGAATCTATTTATAGACTAATTATATATATTCTTATTGTATAACTACTAAGTAACTATATTATATGCACATACATATTCTTTTCATTATGAGCTTCCATTTGACCTATTAACTACTATTATACGATTTACCATTCTCAACTTGTTCCCAATTTATTATATACAGTATCTCACACTCAGCCATTTTTGGCCTGATCTTGTATAATTTTTTATTTTATATTTTATAGTATGATGAAGTCTGATTTACTTGTATACATAGATACATATATACAAGATTCATACAGAATAGGCTGATATTGGTGTTTTACAGTGAATCGGCTGGGTTAGGTGAGAAGCTACTGTCTCGGAGGTTCAATAAGAACTCAGAGTGACTCTAGGCTGTTAGGATTGGTTTATGAGTCATTGGTCCGGTAATCAATTAGTGCTCCAATTGACGACAAGTCACGGCTTATATTTGCAGGATATAAGGACATAACAGTATCCATAGGATCTGCCATAAACAATTGGAAAGTTCGCAAAGATATTTGACAATTTTCGAAAGAAAAAGATCTATTATCCACTACTAACATAGACGCTAATATATTTCTGTTGTTATATACCACTAATGAAGAAGTAAACCGGTTAGGTCAGGTGGTCAATCATAATCAATATAATACCTGGTATAAATATGTACCAGCCCATTACCATACTACTCTACAATCGCAAAATAAAATTGACAAGATAAAACTGCATGAGTTAAAATAATCAGTAGTAGTAGTAGTACCGGTGGAGTTGAGCACAATCTAAGCCTTATAGAAAATAATTCGGAAAGAGATGAATTCTATAAATGAAAAGTACAAAGCGATGTTGAAGCTCAACATTGGAAGGGACAGACACAGACACTGTAACTGAATATGAATTATATCACGCGACTTATCCAACCACCGATGCCCCCAGTATAACTAGATAGTCTGCATTTATAAAAACGACTGTCCAATACACAACGATTGAGTGGAGTGATGCCTTGACTTTTGTCAGTCATCTATCATTCATTTTCAACCTAATTCAACTCGAACCAACGTTGTGAGTCGAGGTAAACTGGTTGCTGAGCATACGCAACACATCTCATTCACCTCCATTGAAGATTAACAGCTTCATCAACAGATTTATCACGTACGCCTACTATACTGAATTAAACCTCGGTATCTCTCGTTCGATGGTTTCAACATAATTACAATTTTTCTCTCATATATTACTACCATTGAAGTCAGTCAGTCAGTAACAACGTAGAACTTCGTACGTACGTACATCAGTTCGAGTTGCCACACCACATTAGCATAGAGATGCAGTGGTCGATTCAAATCCCGTAGTAGTAGAGGTAATAAGAGTATAAGCAGTAATCGGGAAGATTAGTGTTTGGAGATGTTACTTAATGAGTATAATACAGTGAAGTAAATTTGAGAGGAGAAAAAAAAGAGACAAGGAGGAATAAGGAGATCAAAATTTGGGAGAACACAAAGAGTGGGTTAACCTGCGCCATTGCAAACGATTTCGAGCCATGTCATTCAGGGTCTCTAACCATCGGTTGCTATAATCTCGCGGTCCCCAACCAGGTAGTCTACACCTACCAACATGACTCAGTCCACTTGTCAGTAACTTCATGGACTTGTGCCATGTTTTGGTCTGGCCGCCCCTAGCTTTCTTCCAACCTACTCCTACACCACTGAACATCGCACGTCGAGGCAGTCGGTCGTTGGGCATACGTAACACGCGTCCCAAGCCATCTCAACTGATGAAGTTTCACTACGTCATCAATTGATTTGCCATCCTTACCTAGTACCCGTTTCCTAACAACTGCGTTACTTACTCGATGGTCCCACGATATACGAGCAATATTTCAAAGACACCTATGATCAAATACTAGTAACCTACGGATATCCTCTACTCTTACCGGCCATGTTTCACTGCCATAAAGTAGGACGGAACGAACTGCTGCGCAGTAAACCCGTCCTTTGGTTGATAGACGGATATCTCGCCTACGCCATAAATGACGCAAGTTGGTAAAACCTAGTCGAGCCTTTTGTATCTGTGCTGAGATTTCGTCAAACACCAGACCACAAGGGCTGATCACACTTCCAAGATAAGTGAAGCGATCGACACGCTCAATTACTTCACTCCCTAGTTCGGGTGTCAATGCAACCCAATCCTGAAGCAACATTTTGCATTTCGAACCATTGAAGTAACTACTATGAATTTCGTGTTCATTTTGTCGTGCTAATGAAGTATGGCAACTTGGACCGATGCATATATGTGCTTGGTCCTACATTGTAGTTGACTGACTGACTGACTGACATAAGTGAGCAAAGCTCCGGTGAGAACTATGATAAAAAACAGCAGTTAACATGTCTTCTACCTTGATAGATGGCGCTTTCAGATAATAAGTAACGAACCAAAAGAACTATTGTATTTGCAGGCTATTTGAGAAGCCAAATAACACAACAAATAAATTAACAATATCAAATAATGAAATGAGATTATTCGGACAACTAAAAAAGCTGACCTGACTATTCGAATCACCAAGAGGTACGGATGAACTAGACAATGAGCTGAAAAATCTCCGATAACCAATAATAGGTGAAGTCCTTCTGACTTTATTATTGATATTATGGAAGGGCCGGTAAGAAAATCCACTAGGTTTTATACAGCGGTATCGCAAAGGATTTTGAACGCCCAGCCACATCACGTTACGAAAGACCAAGTGAGGACAATATTACAGAATCATTATCGTAAAATTGTATCTAAAATAATTGATTCATATTGTTAGTTAGATAGTGTACTGAATAAAGTGTAAAATGACAACTATTGAAAGAAAATAAACATTTATAGGTTCATTCATTGAATTTTTGAACTTAATTGGAACTACGAACCGATCCAAGTTAGAATAATATATAAAACCTGGAAGCACTGTACAGGTGTCTCGGCGTAGTATGGAATTCCTCGGCAGTGTGCGACCGCTGCAGAGCACACTGGACCTACTACAGACGAAACGCGCGACATGGACACCATCGCTAGCCACATTCTGTCTATTCAATATAACAGATATTATTAACTTGTTCTCACGTATGTTTATAAACTATTAAGGTACGAAAGCCGAGAATAACATCAATGTAAGAGTATAACTAAAATTAGAAAAATTTACTACAAGAATATGCATATTTATAGTATTTACTAGCTACAGCATAGAACAAATGTGCAATGCAATTCAAATATAAGTTTGATTTGACTTCAAGACGTGGAACACTTCGAATACTCTGGGAGTTTGTTACATCAATTTGGTCTTCAAATCACCAAATAATTATAATAACTTAAATCATAATTAACATTTAGCCCCTAGAAAAGGTCTATGGTAATGAATACGTGTTTCTCGAAACTTCCATTTTTGATTGGTTAAAATCACAGTTACCACCAATATCAGCTAATACAATCAATTCAAATATTGGTGGCACAATGTTAACTTAAAAACCCTAATGGTAAGGCGAAATATTACTCAGGTCGATGATTCAGTACAATCACCCACTCAATACGCGTTCATGTACAATCCGTTTACGTAACTCACTATTTCATTCAGCACAAAGACGATGTGTTTTCAAAACAAGTATTTCTGAGTTATCTCATAAACTTTATTCTATATCAATTAAATTATTTCCAAACGTTTAGGTGTCCATGTCATCAATTTAAAGCCGACTTTTGCTGAAGTTATGTTACCAAAAGCATGAGTTCAGAGTATATCATTACCTAAACACAACTTAAGAGTATAAACATTCTTACGCATTGGTATCACGTCAGTAATTTTACATTCAAAGTTTTAGGACTGCAAACTGCGAAGCAGTTTACTGACATAAATTTAATTCAAGCAGTTCTACACGCTGAATAGGTTAATATCTGATATATCAAAATCCAATCATTTCGATAGATGTGAATAATAATGCAATAACCTTACATAAATATGATGGGCAATCACCGCTACAACAGTTAGTGTAGCTAAGAGTTAACAAGAGTATGGCTGAAGAAACTCATACCCTTTGGAGTTAAGCTAGTCAAAGCTGCAAACTAAAAAATTACAATGGTATTCAAGAAGCACACAACTTGTGCTACCTTATTTTAAAGTATTATAAGATAAGAACAGTTACTTGATTAAAAAGTATTTTCATAACATTCGAAAACACCAAAAATGTATTATATCAACCCATTCAATACAATCATAAATAAAAAAGATATCAACATGTCAAATAATATGTTACATAAAAAGTAATTGAATCTTGAAAAAAGTATATATTTCATAAAGTGAGCATTAACACTGATACTATCAAGTCATTCTGATGAGTATAAAGTACATCGAAAATGAAAGCGAAAGAACTGAAATATAAATTTATAATTTGAATGACAAAAGTTGTTGTTTTTGCTTAGTCCAAACGATCGTTTGACTGTATAAACGTCGGACAAAATTAACATTGTCAAAAAACAACCATGTTTAATATATTCAGAAAAACCAGATGACTATTATAACTGAATAGCCAATGTGAATAGAAAATTATTACAAGTCATAAGCAACATTTTATTCAACAATCAGAATTTTCAGAACACCCATAATGAACAAAAGTGATCACCAATGTAGTGTTAGAAAACTTATGCAGTGCTATATAATACAAGATATTTCTAAAGTACAAATTACAGCATTAGCTACGTCGAGTTTCGCTTTTACGCGCGTATATAAGACATTTTAATATTTATTTAAACTCATAAACATCGGTACAAGGATGCACCAAATAGATATGAGCCCCAGAAATCACTTGATTTCTGTGAGAACTGTGATGCTGTCCGGGCTCCCAAACTGGAGCAAATGGTTTTCTTAGGAGACCACTCCTCGAGCCATTGACCTAAAGTCTAAGGCAGTGGAGCAACGTAAGGAGATGCAGTCCCATAGTAGCCGGTGACCAACAATAGGTTCATATGCCATTTATGCCCACAGGATTCTGGAGCATATATGAACTATTGATTTGGAATCAGGATTTTTCCCAACTCCGCTAGATGGGTCCTCTGCATCCACCAACCCGGTTAAAGCGCCGAAAATTAGATTTTCGTCCTCTTGACTTCGTAAACAATATCCCTGCCGCGAGAAGACAATCAGTAAGACTTCTCTGGCAGTGGCTGTACACGCGTGGTCATGTCAGAGCGTTTTGAGAAAGAGAGTTGGTTCTTACCACTTTCGACCGTACCACGGCATGTGGCGTTTTTAGTTTTGATGACAATTCTAACGAATCATATCCACTATCATTACATCAACAAATTTAGTGACCCTTTACCGGATTCCAATTAAACCGGATGAATGATTGCCATCGAAATATAAATCCGGAATACCCTCGTGTATAATTTTATCGACTTAAATCACGTTGGTGAATAAGAGGACTAAACAAGTCAAATACGAGAATGGATTTCGAATATGTATATTTTATACAACCGTTGATCCAGACAGACGATCAGAGAAACGAAGCGGAGAAAGAGAAACGCAACGTGAGGATACGCAGTGGATAAGGCAAGTGAGTCAACTCGTTTTAATAAAGCGTGACTCGATATTTACAGTCAAACAAAAATAGTTTAGACACAATGAGTAGGGTAAGTAATCAACACACATACACTCAAATAAAAACAAATTTATTAAGCGAATAAGTAACAAGGTAAGAATGTGACTTGAGAAGAATGAGCAGATTTGTCTGTCCAGAGGTTAGAATAACTTACGTGGGCTTGACATAGTACCAACCCCTACACAACCTCTGATGACAGCTAATATTATTCAACAATAGATTTAAAAGGGGGAAGCCTCAGTATTAAGCACAGAATGAATACCTTATTGATTTATTCAAACGAGGCATAGGTAAAGGAAATCATGATATATAAAATTATCATTTATAATAACAAATTAGAGTTGGTTCATCAAAAAGTAATCCGGTTGTGAAAACATACACAGTTTACACTTAAATATCAGTGATAGTCAACATCGAACCTGAAATGAATACGCATTGACTCATGTGGAGACAAGATTTAGCCATATAAGTATTGATTTTAAGCATGTTTTGGTTTTACAGCTAGACACAAACTTCAAATTCAGAAAGCATCTACCTAAACACCTTATATAAACTGATCACAGTTTACTACCAAACTGCTCAAGCCAGTACAAACGTCAGCAATAAACTATGAATCACACGTATTTCTCAAGTTCTAGTAACGCCACTTTGGCTGTTTAGCTGAAGTATTTATAATAGTGCGCACTACTGGTTGAAAGTCCTTAAAATAATCAGCTGCAGAGAGACATATGAAGCATGGGATAACAGCTTTGATAGTACCACTGCTACATGTATGGCCATTTTTACAAACCCACTGCACTCAGTTTGAAATCACCTAGCGATTATTCACTACAGTATTTTATCAACCAGCTAACCTGTCATATTTATACTTATTTACTTGTACTCAATAGAAGAACATTCAAGAATTCAAATTTACAAAGTCGATGAGGGACCTAACTTATAAAACACAAAATATATTTAACAATAATAATATAATAATAGTATAACCGTAACATCACAGCTTAGTAGTAAACAAAAGGATGTCTGTAAACAAAAACAAACATTATTTTCACAAATGTAGAAAGGTAGCATTTAGTTATACATATATTACAACATTGTACAATTTGTCCAATTCTTCATTAATGAAAGTTATTTAGTTAATTAAACAACGTGACATTCTTTACATGTTGACCGTAGTAGTGTAACCTGTTAATAGGGTAGAAAGAAAGTTTAAAAAATAACAAAATTCAGAACTGTTTATTTAAAAGTTTTATAGTGAATATTCTGACTTTAAATCCACACAGAAACTAAGCCTTCGAATACAACTTTAACAACTTTTAAATGTTTATGCATGCTAAGCAAGTAATCGAATATGATCATTAGTGTACAAGATCGAAATAATGTTTAATTTCTTTAAATACGAATAACTGTGAATTTTATTTTTGGAATGGTCTATGGGTTTTGTAAGAGTTCGCCTGTACACATTGACAATAGCATACGAATTACTTCCTAACTACTAGCAACACTATGCACGTAGCGGCAATTAGGTGTTTAAAGTACCGGTATTTAAACAATCAAACGGCTAAGTTAGAGCATGTTTAACTCATTTGAGTTTGGTAAACAGGACAGAATTACAGTCAGTCAGTAATCTGCAATGTAGGACCAGGAACATATATGCATCGGTCCAAGCTGCCTTACATCATTAGCACAACTAGATGAACACTAAATTCATAGAAATTCACATCGATGGTAGTAAAAAAATTTCATATAAGGATATGATGCAGGGAACTCCGCTTGTAGCACTTTTAGAGTTACTGACGGTCCCAAAACCTGGTAAAGGAGAATAGTTGGATATGGACATGGGCAACCGTATCCCGTAGGGAAAAATCTTGCTAAGACAAAGCTAACCAGGTTAAGTAAACTAGACCATTTAAACTCTGGCCGGGGAGTTTGAGGAAGAATTATGACGCCTCAGGATGAAAGCCAAGACTCTTCGGAATTCACGAGGTTGATGCCACCTAACAACCAGAGTAACTACTACTATAGGTACACAGAATGGCCGGACAATGTAGGAGACCGTGAGGGCCAACCAAATAGCAACGGAAATGAGGAGATACAACTTGGCAGTACTCAGAATCAGCGAAACCCATTGGATCCAAGCTGAACAACAAAGGGTAG